CAGCCTGGTAGAATACATAAATATAACATATACAACTTACAAGTAACGTTTTAAAAGTTTCATTCATAAAATTCAGTTCCCGTAATGTGATATTTTGCCATCATTCAATCTCCTTCTGTTTTGTCTCTTGAATTTATAATTATTTTATTTTATCTATATAAAAAAAAATAACGATTGTCAGCTGCATTTATTATCATTTCGCGTTTTCTTGTATATCTATTACTTGTACATTATTCATTTCATTAGATAGTGCAAGTATAAATTAGAAAATTGGTAGGTCATTTCCATAGTTTTTATTCATTCATAAATCCTTGGATCCGCTCCTGCAAGTACGCAAAGCCTTGATCACCACTGTATACAAAACATTCATCTCGCCGAAAATGTTCATGATTCCGCTAAACTGAGAAAGTTTACACATGATTTATCATCTCATAACAAACATCAGCTAATTGCAATGCAGAAATGCTAGAATTGAAGGTGGCATGTCAGATACGTTTTCCGGCAGAACCTCTAAAAATCAAAGTGAAAGTAGGGAAATTTCAGAGTTCTCACTGGCGTTATAATACACAAAATAATTCGGCTGATCTTCTTAATAAATTATACTTGCCAAGCTTTTTTGGTAGGAAAGATACTGCCAATTAACAAGTATGAGGCTCAGTTCAGTACATCTGCCCAATTTCTTTTATGCAAGTCTGCAAATTTAGGAACTTGTAATTTTTTCCTGCACTACTTTCTTCTCCTACCGATTCTAAAAATTATTAGTGGAATGTACCCTATTAAGGTCTTCCGTTTCCAACGGAAAGGACTGATACGACTCGGTGGTTGTCCAAGCTTAGCTAATGGACCATTGTTTTAGTGATGATAAAAATGAAAATCTTGTCCAGTACGGGGCGACATATGCTATTGCTTGCAATAGCAGACTTTCTAGTTATTGTTTTTTTTTCTTACCGATTTTGTACGCGCGATTTCTCGAGAACGGCTCGATCGATTTTCATGAAACTTTCAGGTCTGATAGAACTTCAAAAAATCTAGATATATATTTTTTTTTTGATGACGTCACTTCCGGTTCGGAGTTTTCTGCGATTTAGTGATTTTTAGAGGGTCATTTTGTCCGGCAGTTTTCTCAAAAAGCACTTTACACAGAAGCTTGAAATTTTCAGTGATGCTAGAGCAACTTTTGGAGAAGTGCACTAAGTATATCACAACTACCGGAAGTACGAAGCGCCGACGCTCGCTATTGCCCGAAAATAGTCCTATCAAGAATTTCAAAATTTTAAGCACTTTTTCAACGATAACTTTTTACCTAGAAATATTTTGTTAAAGCATGTAGAGCAAAAAAGGTGTAGAATTTCAAGATCTTTCAAATGACATCTCGAAAAAAGGGCTGGCCCCTTAAATCAGGGGCCTGGAGGGGCCGAAAGTTTTTCCTTTATATCTCAAAAATTATTGAGAATTTGTGATACGTCAAAGAAGCAAAATTGTTCAAAATGTCAAGCTTAATCTATTGAAGTCGTCAAAATACGTCCGGCGTCGTCACTTCCGGTCAAACCGGAAGTAGTCGGAAATCGCGTATTTTTGCCGTTCTTCACAAGTTTTCTGGTAACATATGTCTCTGGGAGCATTATAATTGATTTTACGTCCGTCGTCGTCACTTCCGGTCAAACCGGAAGTAACAGAAAATGGCTAATTTTTGCAATAATTAACATGGAATTAGAGGAATCAAACCTTTTTTGGACGTTATTTCTCATTTCTGTTAAAAATGAAAGCCACTTCCGGTCAAACATGACGGAAGACCTACTCGTTGCTTTGCAACGAGCTTTGCTCTAGTTCCTACTTTACTTTTTGATCTGACTTATTTCTGGTCACCCATAGCAAAACATGGACTTTGTCAGCTCAGGGCTCACGGTAAACCCCACCCCCTTTTATTCATGCAGAATATGAATTTTAATCTCCATTTTTAGCTCCACCCTATTCTCAATGTCAAAAATATAATAAAAAAATTACACAAGTTCAGAATATCGATTCAATTTAGTATGCTCATGCAACCTGAAATAAAATTCACCAATATACTGGCTATACATGAGGACCAAGCCCTCAAAAAAAAAAATTATTTTATATTTTGATGTTTATCTTTTAATCTCGATTGTTTTTAAATAAATCGTTTTGAAAGATGTATAGCTAAAATAAAACAACACGAATATGTTTCATATTTGACACAGGGATTTAGCAAAGCTGAATTAAGAAATTTTAATACTAAGATCGACAACTCTTACCTCCCCCCCCCCCCCCCCCAAAAAAAAAAAACCATAATATAAAAGTATCATAATTAAATATTAAATAGACAAAGTCTGACTATTTAACCAATTATTTTAGATGTTCGTGCATTGATCAAAATTAATCGGAATCACAGTTACTGCCTTGGTAATGTCGAATAAAATTTTAAAAGCATATTTTATTTCCAAAAAAAAATTCAAGAAAGAACTGAATACAAAATAAATTTAATCTGACTCTTATTTTTGGTCTCCAATACCAAACCATGGACTTTGTCTTTATAATCGCAATCTTTTGAGCTCAGTGCTCACGGTACCCCCCCCCCCCCCCTCCTTTTCATTAAAATGCAGAATATGAATTTCAATCTCCATTTTTAGCCCCACCCTATTCTCAATGTCAAAAAATTGAATAAACAAATAACACAAGTTCATGCATATTCGATTCAATTTAGTATGCTCCTGCAACCTGAAATAAAATTTACCAATTAACTGGCTATACATGAGGACTAACCCCCCTCCCCTCAAAAAAAAAAAAAAGTAACTATTTTCCTTCCCAGGGAACAGCAGAGTGAATAATTTGATGGATTTTTTAACATAAGCATATTCAATGGTAGGGTTAATAAAATCAATTATAGGATGCAATTTATAAAAAAAAAATTTAATCATTATAGGCAGTTTCCTGTCACGGATAATATGTTTTATATCTTGATGTCGTTTATCTTTTATGCTCGGTTATGTTTTTAAATCAATCGTTTAAAAGATGTGTAGCTAAAATAAAACAACATGAAAATAAAACAACATGAATATGTCTCATATTTGACACAGGGATTTAGCAAAGCTGAATTAAGAAATTTTAAGACTAAGATCGACAACTCTTACCAAAAAACATAATATGACAATGATTGAATATTAAATAGACAAATCTGACTATTTTAACCAATTCTTTTAGATGTTCGTGCATTGATCAAAATTAATCGGAACCACAGTTACTGTCTTGGTAATGCCGAATAAAATTTTAAAAGCATATTTTATTTCAAGATTTCAATTATCAAGAAAGAACTGAATACAAAATAAATTTAAAACAGACTTTATTTCAGCAATAAAACTAGAGGTACTGTGAGCAATGAGCTCACTGAATGATACCCCCGCCTCCCATATGACTATAATGGGAGTGTCCATGTTTTGTTGTGGGAAACCCAAAATATGTGTCGGATCGAAAAATAAAATAGGATGTGTACATTGGCAATATGTAATAAAGATTCTGTGAAACTTCATCAAATTTCATTCATTGGTATATAGGAGGAGTTGCGGATAAAAGATGGGTACCCCAAAGCGTAACAAACAGACGGACGGACATATCGATTTCTATATACCCTCCCGCTTTTCAAGCAGCGGTAAAATAAAGATCTTGCAAAGAATTATATATTATAAAACAAAATAAATGTATTAATTAATATGCAAAAGAAAATCAAAGCATCTTTTATTTCAACAATGAAAACAAATCATGCACGAACTATTCTTATACAAATGTGCACATAGTGCATAATTATGTTAAGTCAGCTTTGTTCAGATTAATAAAAGCAAATAAAAATTGCAAAATAATAAAAAGAAAATCTATAATGACACAAGCATTGTCTTTGCATACGTCATCACACATGTCCACATGACCACATAAAAATGCAATGTCATAAAGAGGCATGGTCACCAAGTCAGAGCACAAGGTACCAAGACGGTCAAAAACTATTGCAATGTTATTGTCTGATCACAGGCGAGTCCATAAATCGGGGGAGGGGGGGGGGGCGGGGTGTGGGGGTTGTCACCCAGTCTGAGGATAGCATTCCGTGAACTCTGCAGCATTAAATCAATAGTATAGGTCTCTGTCAGTGCCTTTTGTAGGCAAATGGGTTTAATTAAGCTTTTGAAAAACAGTATTTGACGCACAAGTAGGTCTGCAAGATATGCAGAAAATTTCTTGTCCAGCAACACTCGTGTTCAGTAATGCATGCAGCGACCTACATGTAAGAATGTAATACACCATGTAACAGTCCCAGAATGTAATACACAACGTAACAGTCCCATGCAGAATGTAATACATGCTGTAATAGTCCCAGAATGTAATACAGCATATTACGGTCCCAGAATGTAATACACCATTCTATGGTCCCAGAATGTAGCTACTTGTATTAGCACTTCCTAAGTGTGAATCATCAAAAATGAGTACAGTGGTACCGAGATGGTGGAGGCGGCCATGCGGCTCCTGATATTTGCACACACACTATTTGCGACCATGCATAATCTACAAGAAAAGGGGAAAACATTTATGCGCAACAGAATACTATTTAAAAAAAACACAAAACAAAAAACAAGACTCTGGTGAAACTGTAGCTCTACTGACTACTGGTATACCAAAGAGAGAAGAAAATAGTCACTTGCAGTTGAAACCGAGATACTTAATTATGTATCTTTGAGTAGTCTGTTTAGGGGCAAAATTATTTAATAAAATGAAATCAGACTACAGCCGTAGAAGGAGTAGCATTTTGAAAATTTGTTTACAGAGAGACAAACGATGGACTCCTTACTATCGTACAAGCTTTCATGCTCCATAACCAGTAGAGCTAAAAATTATCAATTAAAACTGTTGTAAAATTAGATATAATATACATGTACATGGATCTATGAACTATTGTACTCAGGAGGGGGGGGGGTGGCTCACCAATATCAGTCCTCCCCTCAGTAGACATAGAAGGAGGAGTTCATGTCGTGTTTCCTAGAGACTTTGTGATGACGTCTCTGTTCTGGTACGTCACGGCGCACTGGTCTGTGCTTAAAATTGACTCTGGCCAACCATTCAATCTGTTGTAGGGAAAAAATACAGGGTATCATAAACTAGTAATTGTTATTTTTCAGTTCAAATAACATACACCTACCAGGGAGATATTAAAAAAAGGTTTAGTTTTTTTATTTTCACATTTGTACAGGTATATTTTAGAAAAAGGAAGTAAACAGAATTAATTTTTTGTGACTCTTAATTAAAATATTCTTATATTGAAAGGGAGCCCGACACTTACCTGGTGCGTAGGTTGTGGTATGGTAGGAAGCTCCCTACGCTCCTCAGACTTGTTGATGGCGCTGGTCAACTCACGCTAAAACAGAAAGAAGTAATCTTATTAAACATGATAACCAAAATAAAGTAAAATAATGTAGGTATGAACATGACACACAAGAAAGTGAATTGGATTAATGCAAAAAATGCCCTCATTCAGATTCTTACCCAGTCTCGAATGTGATCTCTCCATTCATGAACAGCAGAAGCAAAGTCTTGCTTGTACTGGAGAGAATATTATAGAAATGGATTAAGAGGTATAGAAAGAAACATGGATCGAGAGAGAGAGAGAGAGAGAGAGAGAGAGAGTCGAGCGTGAGAGATAGGGGTTGAGAGAGAGAGAGACAGAGAGAGGGGGGGGTTTGAGCGTGAGAGAGAGGGGTTGAGAGAGAGAGAGAGAGAGAGAGAGAGAGAGAGAGAGAGAGAGAGAGAGAGACAAACAGCTGATTTGGCCGCCAGGGCAAGCATCACCTCGTACCACGGACGACTGTCATCTGAAGAGGTCTCTACACGGCGCTAGAATTACAACAAAAATATTTTTGATCATGAATTCAATGGTGTCACATTATCATAATTCTGATTTATACTCCAGATTGATCTAGACACATTAATAAAAAAAACTCCAATATTTTAATCTACGTGTTCCTGCTAACCCAGATAAAAAAAATAGAATTAAATACATGTATATACAAGGCCGTCGGTACAGGGGGGCAGGGGCACGGGGGATTGATAGCCCTTAAACTGCAGATTATGAGTGTTCCCCTCCCCACTCGAAATTCCTTTCTACAGGCCTGATATGTAAGAATAACCGGCTTCTATCCATATTTGCTGTTCACTTTTTAGCGCGGATCCAGGATTTTTTTTCCAAGGAGGGGGGGGTTCAAACTCAGGAAAAAAATCCAACCCAGCAAAAAAAGTACAGTGTACATGTATATGAATTTTTAAAAATAACTCTGCAAAATCCGGGGGCGGGATGTGTGATTGCATGATTATTAGAAATATGTAGCAAAGTGAAATGCTTTTCCATGAAATGTTTTTTGTGTGATTTTTAATGCTGAATTTCACTGAATTTTTCTATTGATGTAGAATTGCGATCGAATTATCAATATTTATTGAAGCCCTATATTGTACGGGGTGGGGCATCGTTGCAAGTCACACTTTTTAGTAAAAAAAATATATATTATTTTGTGTGTTGATTAGACAAAAAACACCGACCTTGCAAAATGAATGATCAAAGGGAAACAACTCCTATAAAAATTGCTCCCAGTAATCTCCCCTTTTCTATTTGGAATGACCGTGAGATATAAAACGTTCCTATTATTAGCATTTACCACGATAATTTTGAGAGGTAAGTTTGATAACGAATAAACTGTTAAAGCAGGATAAATTGAGTAAAGAAAAAAAACTTGCTGATCTTAAAGAATGGACTGAAAACATTACAAACATAATGATTATTTATCTGAACCGAATTTCCTCTTTCATATATGTTGTCCATAATTTTTTCTTCATGTCATATGAAAAATCTTTAAATTTAAGACATTTTAATCTTGTATAAATTTGTTAACTTTTCTACACTGATGTCTAAATATTAAGTTTTTTTTATAAGCATAATGATATTAAACGAGAGTAAAAAATGTTTTCCTCTCACAATAATTCAATATCCTAGATCCTATATTTTTGTACCGATATGTATGCCCTGCCAAACACTAGATACCCCTTCCTTTTTCATATTATATAGATCTTCATGTAATATGCATTTCTAGGCCAGAATAAATACTTTTCTAGCATTTTTATTTGAGCTATTTTACCACGCCTCTCGTTATACCCTTCGACGTCGTAAAATTCATTGTATCTTACAAAAACAAACAATGAAATCCAATAAAAATTTATTTTCTGAAGAATTACCCTTTTAGATACATTCTTGCTTCTTCTCTCGGAAGATCTTTCTCTTTTCATAATGATAATATAAGATTTTCGTCGCTCTGTGAAAAACACGTCCACTCTCAACTGATCGAAATGCGTAACTAACGACAGTAACTACAACGCAACGGCTCCTTGCAGTTTCCAAGAGTGACGTCATCACCAATGGCAACACCACATTCAATCAGACCTTCGGCTGTTTCCGCAAGTCTTCGATCAGCATCTTTGCTCGTCGGAGAGTTACGGAGACAGCCGATTGTCTGGTTCAAATGCTAAATAGCATATCGATGATTATACCAGGCACGTAGCAACTGGGGGCTTTTTTACCTTTTACTATTTAAAATGTTCATTAAAAGGCTGCCCCCCCCCTTTTTGCTACCGTATAGTGTATACTGAAATAAGGGTATTTTGAGCAAAAAACTGGTACTGAAAGAAGTTGGTACTGAAAAAAAGTTAGGATTTTTTTAAATAATCTAATTCAGAGAATCTGTCTTTCTGTTTGTACCGCTTTTCGTTTCCGCAAGATATCTCGAGAGGCCTCTCAGTGTTTGAAATGAAATTTTACATATCAAGTTACTTCTTAAAGCGCCCCATCCCGCCCATCCACAACTTTTAAATCCGCACATGCTCCTATTTCGTCCTTAAGCAGGTGCACAGACTCTCTGAATTATTAGATTGTTCGGTATAGGTCATGTTTGAAGAATAAGACTTGTACAAAGAAGAATAATTCTTGATTTTTAATCATGGTCATTGCTACAGATTCAGTAGTGGTTTTAGCCAAAATTAAGCGTATCTAATAGTACACATACATGTATTACCTTAAAAGTTCAGTTTATTAATACTTTTTATTGATAAAACAAATCTAGACGCATGCAATGCAATAAAATCATGACTAGAAGACACATTTCTATCGCTAAAATATTACAAATGTGGCGTTGACCACTATTCCCATCTCTAATGTTATTGAGAGACTTTTTGTCCTCCACTCTGAGTTTTATGGCTCTGTTTCCAAAAACCTTTACTTCCCCTCTAAGTAGAGGATAGGATCCATCCCGAAAATTTACGACCAATGACATCCCCTCGTCCTCTGAGTCCGTAACTTCTATGGACAACGAATTTTCATTCAGATGCAAGTCGAACGTGAACCCTCTGTACTTCAAATCGTACATGGCCCATTCCGATGCTCCTGGAATATCGGTGAAGGAAACCTCTAGATAGTCGTCCTTCAAGCGCAGTCCACCATAACCAAATATCACGGCCTGAAGAAGACCTCCTGCTGCTGTGATGAAATTCACACATCGAGGACCATCACTGGAGTTAGCTGGCTTTTCGCTGAAAACCTAGGAATTTTGCAAAAGCATAAAATCATTATATTATTACAGTCTGAGAAATTAACGGATAAATAAATCAATGAATAGTCTCAAGACTTGCCTTAAAAGGACCGTTTATATTTCGGAACATCATTTTGAAGTTTTCGTAAGCCCTCTGGGGTTGTCCTAGCTCCAACCAACCTACAGTGTGCATGCTCCATGTGCCTGTATCTGGCCCATATTTATCTGTAACCTATGTTTAGATCATTACCGATGAAATAAATAAAATAAATTTCTCTGGAAGACTTATTTTGATACAATCAAGCTAGTCTTTACTTACATTTTCATAAATTTCTAAGTCGTTTTTTCTTGTCGACCTGGACATGGGCATTTGGAGAGGGAATCCGAGTAAAACAACATCTGACTGCTTGATTTTCTCTGGGTGATAAAAATTTTTAAAATTATAAATTGAATTTAATCAAAGATTAGACATCAAATATACAGTTTTATCAATGGGTGGCACTGTAGCTCTCCTGTATGTTTTATATTTTTTCTCTGAGTGCTACAGGTCTGCAGCTACCCCTTCCCCGACCCGTAATTTTATGCACTATGGTTGTGATGAAGACAAACCTGCGAGTGAGAACGAGTCATACTGAGGATGAAAGTCTCTTTGTCGGTCGTACAGAATCCTAATCTTCTGGCTGACCTCCATTAATTCATTTATTTCAGTCTGGTTTAACGGGATCAGTTGTCTAATGGGAAGGTCAGAAAAATTGAGAAAAAGTTTTGTTCAAATCATTTCGGATAAAAGTAAATGTCATCTAAATGTTTTTTTTATAAACACGATACTGCGCAACTTCAAAAAATTAATAGAACCTAGAAAATCTTCGTTATAACCAAGATTTAAATACAAGAAACTATTACTTGAAAATTACTTCGACAAATCCATTGTATTCGGGATATCAGGTTTCGAAACAACGAAGTTCAACTGTACTAGTATTGTAACCTTACCTTTTGTGAAGAAGATTCGGTAGTTCCAGGCTGAGTTTTGCATTGTAGTTTGTAAAAACGGAGTTATTGATGTTGAAATGATATTCGTCTGGTCCCATAACACCTTCCAAGAAAAGAAAATATTTAATACTGTAACTGTAAAATCACTTAAATACAATTTCGATTTATTAAAGCCATATATGGCGTATGTACAATAAAAATTATAAGACTAAAATTATAAGAACTTATCATTATTTCTTTACTTAATTTTGTATTTTTCAAAAATATATTTTTTGATCAGTTACGCCATATATGGCTTTAAACATGTCCTAAACATGTCCTAAAATCGATCGACAATTAACAGGCTTATAATACGCGGAAATGGGGTCGACGGTGGCAGAAAAAATGAGGGATCCAATCCTTTCCCTCTTTTTCCCTTTTTATTCTCTTTGCAATGAGTTTTGATATGTAAAAATTCTTTTTTTCCAGATGTTGCTCCGCCCTTTATACGCACTTCTTTTGCTTTTGTGTCAAACTCAGGCAAAATACAGCAATACAGCAATTGAAGAGAAAAAGATAGAGAACCCCCTCACCGCCAAAACATAGAATCCCCCCCTTAAAAAAATAAGTTGTTAGCTGTTGGCCGGAAGAGGAACTTGTAGTAAACTTGTACGAAGAACGATGGAAACATGTTCCATGATATGTACATAGCGTTTCCGACATTTTTTAATATTTCTTTTTCGCCCATTTATCTTCTCATTTTCTTTCCTATTTTCCATTTGCAAAGTACCCCTCCGATAATTTATGCTTACCAAGTAGGTGGAAATTGAATCTAGTATATTTCAAAATATTAATAAAAACATATAAAAATTCTGTGTGTATATATATTGCACATATGTACATGTACATGTAGCACTAAGTCAATTTAAAAGAGTACAATCGGCATAATTCATTATTCTTGTCGCTCATTTGAGAAAGCTTCATAGTAGAATGACATTACTAATTCCATGTTTTACTTTTTATACGTATTTTAAAATTAACTTAATCCGGTCAAATTTTAACAAAAATGAAACAGGGGGACAGAGAACGGGTTTTGACTGACAACGTGTTTCTTCTGACTATATGTATAAATGCCCTGTTGGTGGTAAACAGTCCTTCGATGTGATTGGTCAGTATTATCGAGATATTGATCGACTCTTTACTTCATATGCAAAGTAGTATTGATTTCATTGAAATCAGACACCCAATCACTGAATACCGAATAATATAGTAATCAGTTAGTGAAAATTGTTCTATACGTTTGGTCAACAAGATTACATGCCGTGACTGGGAATTTATTTTTTTATTATTATTAAAGCCTTTTGCAAATTGAATTAACGAACTTAAAGAATGAAGTAAATTACAGAATATCAACAGATAAAAGTCGGTACAGAATTTATTTTTTCTAAACAACAGATATTTTAAAAACCAATATCGATAATTAAAAATACAAAATTTGTTTCGGGGATTTATATTCTCTGTAAAAGTTGTGTTTTAAATTGAAGATTTTTTTAACTAAATGTTAAATTCTATAATACTTTGTAATTTCCGAAAAATGAAGTGTTAAATAGTGTACTTTTAAACTGTTCATCATATGTTATTTAAATAATAAAAAGCTTAAGAACTTGAAGAAATTAAATACAAAATTTGTTTTAAAATTTCATATTCCTAAAACACATATATAGGAATTAATTTTAATTAACCTTAAAAATTCAGAATCAGTTTGTGTTCTTAAATTTTAGAAGTCTTAACTAAAATAATTATAATTTAGAGCTTGAATTATTTTCAAAGTTTGAATAATTTGGTGTTACGAAAAATATTATGCATCGATAGAAAAAAAATAAAATACATTTCTGAAAAATAAATTTTAATCAATGAAAACTTGTATGAATTTATAAGAATATTTCCATGATTTAAAAATAATCGAAATTCATTTATAAGAAGTTTGAAGCTTTGGAAATATATATTTATATACATTTTTTCTCTCACAATGAAGTAATCTATAAAGATAATTCAGCGTAGATTTGAATCAAGTATGAATTACATTTGATATTGTATCTAAAATAAAATTCAATGAATATGAATAATATTAATGCATGAAAACTTAGGAAATAAATAATTTAATGAAATAATTTATGATTTTTTCGTATTATAACGTATTTAAAAAAGGGTTTATATTTTGTAAACTCATGATAATTAATATAAATCAAAACTTATTTAATCATAACATTCATGCGAAGTTTTATGAGATTCAACAGACGGAAATCATTCTTATTTTATTTGCAAGTGTCGGTTATTTTTGGCATTCAAATTTGTACAAAATATACGTATTGCATTTTAATATACACATGTTAATATACACATACATGCGAATCATATCAATTTTATAGGTTAAAATTTTCATCGTTCATATATAATTCACTTGCATGATTTGTCCAAACTTTGCCTAAGAAAACACCAAAATATATAAATGCATTCCAACATAATATAAACACTATCACAAATATCCTTAAATTATCAATAATAAATAAAAAATAAATGAGCAAAGATTACAATCAATAAAAAAACTAGCATATACTAGTCTAAAATACCACGAATCTGCATATGCAACAATAACTTATAATTGATTTAATTAAAAGAAAAATACTAAATATTTTCTTATTTTCATTACATATGTGCTGCCATTTGCATGCAAATGAAGGTAATTTTATATTATTTTATGCAAATGAAGGTAATTTTATGTAGAGGAAGCTAATTTTATGCTACTGAAGAAAAAAATGGCTTCATTTGATTGAATAAGTATAAATTTGGAGCTAATATTATGCACATTTATGCAAATGAAGCTAATTTATGCTAATTTTTTTTTTTACAACTAAATCAAATTTTGAGCTATTTTATGCTAATGTAGCTAATTTTATGTAAATGAGGTTGATTTTATGCAAATGAGGTTAAATTAGGCTTTTTCATGCATTCTGCATAAAATTATCTTCATTAGCAAAAATTTGCATAAAATTAGTTTCATTTGCATAAATTTGCATAAAATTAGCTTCATTAGCATAAATTTGCATAAAATTAGCTTCATTTGCATAAAATTAGCTTCATTAGTGGAAATTAGCATGTTAAATTATGCAAATGAAGCTAATTTTATGCAAATGAAGCTAATTTTATGCAAATTTATGCTAATGACGCTAATTTTATGCAAATTTATGCTAATTAAGCTAATTATATGCAAAATGCACGAAAAAGCCTAATTTAACCTAATTCGCATAAAATCAACCTCATTTACATAAAATTTGCATAAATTAGCACTTAAATAGCTTCTTCTCTTAACAAAACTGCATAAAATTAGGCTCATGTGCATAAATATTTTTAAAAGTAGCTTCATTATTGTAAATTAGTATGATAAATTATGCAAATTTATATAAATGAAGCTAATTTTATGAAAATGAAGCTAATTTTATGCAAATTAATGCTAATGAAGCTAATTTTATGCAAAATGCATAAAAAAAGCTTTTTTTAAACTTATTTGCATAAGCTCAACCTCATTTACATAAAATTAGCATAAATTAGCACAAAAATAGCTTTTTTGTTAAAAAAAAAAAGCAAAAAAGAAAAGCAAAAACATTCGATTCATTTGCATAAATTTGCAGAAAATTAGCGCCTGAATGCTAATAAACTAATTTTATGCAAAATGCATGAATTAGCTTCATTTGCATACATTTATCTTTATTTACATAATACAAAATTAGCTTCATTTGCGTACAATTAGCTGCATATTTGTAATAAAATAAAATATTAGGTAATTTGCTATTAATTGAATTTATTTCAAGTTAATGTTGTTTAAATGCAATAAATAAATTTATTTATATTTTTGGTGTTTTTAGGCAAAGTTTGGACAAATCATGAAGATTTTTTATTTTAATGCAAGTAAAAAAAATGGGGGGGGGGGGGGAGCGAAGATAATGAAATTGGTTGAATTAAAAAAAAAACATATTAATGATATGATTTTTTTTGCTCCATTTAACAAAGAATATGGCTACAGACATCATCATATTATTTAGTGTGTTGTTTGTAAATTGCTAAATTTTGACTTGCTCTGCGATTCGATTTTTGCAGTATTTAATTCTGGATTGGTTTGAAATATATTTGAAAAGTTTCGAATTTTTTGTAAATGAATTTCTATTATTTTCAAAGAAATATTTAAATAAATTCAGACAAATTTTCATTGATTGAAATTCATTTGCAGGAATTGTATTTTTCTATAGATGGCAATATTTTTTGTAACACCGAATAATTCAAACTTTGAAAATAATTCAAGCTCTTAATATTTTGGTTTAAACTTCTAAACTTAAAGAACACAAATTGATTTAAATTTTTTTATGTTAATGAAAAATTATTTCTTATATAAACATGATAAATATAAATGTATGTGGTTTAAAATTTAGATCCCTAAAATAATTTTGCATTTAATTTCTTTTTTCTTCAGCTATTTATTATTTAGAACACTTATGATGAACAGTTTAAAAGCGCAGTGCTTCAATTTTCGAAAATTATTTAGCATTTTGGAATCTAACATTTAGTTTAAAAACTTTCAAATTAAAACACAACTTTTACCGAGAATTTAAATCCCCCAAAACGAGTTTTCTGATTTCAATTTTCGATATTGATTTTCACAATATCTGTAAAAATTTATATTCTGTACGATTTTTACATATCTATTATTTTTTTAAACAACGGATACATTAAAATTAAATTCATTCTTAAAGTTCATGAATTCAACTCGCAAGAGTCTTAAATATTTTTTCAAGTCACAGCATATATTAATCTTGTTGACCGAACGTAGTAAAATTTTTCACAAACTGATTACCATTTTACCCGGTATTCAGCGATTGGATGTCTGATTTCAATGAAATCAATACTGCTTTGCATATGAAATACGGAGTCCTTCAATATCGGCGATAATTCTGGCCAATCACATTGAATAGCTGTTAACCAACAACAGGGCATTTGTACAAGTAGTCAGAATAAACACGCTGTCCGTCAAAACCCGTTCTCTGTCCCCCATACCCCGAAAGAATTTTTTATCGTTTTACTTACAGCGCGCCAGTTTGCTTGACGGGGCTTGCTAAAATTTTATATTCTGATTATCATTTTACTCGTCGATTGGATGTTTGATTTCAATGAAAATCAATGCTCATTTGCATATAAAACACAGAACCTAGCAATACCACTGGCAATACTGACCAATCGTATTGAGTGATAATTGTTCACTAGTATGCACTAATTGTGGACGGACAAAGCACGTTTTACTTCCTATAATGATTATATTGATATAAAGTACAACAGTAGCAGAGTAGCCTTGTTAATTTCATTCTTTAAATTTTCTTATAAGAATTTAAAACCACATCCGGTTATGTGACACCGGACAAATAAAATAAATATTTTTGAGGACGGAAAACAGGCTTTGGTAATTTCGTATTTATTGTTATTTGACCGGATGAAGTTAATACGTGTAAAAAAAAATTAAGGCATTCAACTATCATTATATACTACCAGGGTATTCTACAGTTATATATAGGAACTGGAAGAAACTAGAGGTACTGTGAGCAATGAGCTAACTACAAGATACCCCCGCCTCCTGTATGGTTATAATGGCAAAGTCCACGTTTTTCACTGGTTGACCCAAAATAAGTGTCAGATCAAAAAGTAAAACAGAAGGTGCAAGTATTCTGTGATAGTATCATTAAATTCCATTAAGAGGTAAAAGAGGAGTTGCGGATAAGAAATGGGTACTCCGAAGCATAACAGACAGACGGAAGGACATCCCTATCAATATATATATATATATATATATATATATATATATATATATATATATATATATATATATATATATATATATATATATATATATATACTGTGCCCTCCCAATTTTCAAGCGGAAGGTAAAATAAACTACATGTACGTTTAATCTCTGAGAAATACTGAAATGGTCCATACCTGTAATTACATAGTCATCTTTCGCTGATTTAGTTGCCCTACTTTTCCAGAAACGGGCGATATCCAGAGTGAGGTCTTTCCCTCCACTATTCAGCAACTCCACTGCTCGCCTTTTGGTAGAAACAGCCAAATAATGACGTAAAGAAAGTGAAACGTCAGCAGTTACGTGGATTTGGTAATCTGATGCTGGTTTCCATGGACAAGTCTCGTGACCTACACGATAACATGGAAATGCACAGAATATACTGAAGTCAGGATGAAATTCACAAAGATGGTTTAAGAATTTTATACTCAAGTTAGATACATGAACGTCTGTACAATGTACCTGTAAAAGCTTGTTCCCACGGAAACTGGGCTCCTTGAAATCCATTCTGTCTAGCTCTTTCTTTAACGGCTGGATGAACACGGAGTCTTGAGCCAATCATTGTTCTCGCCATGTCTGGAAAGAACATCATGATTGGCGGCATAATCCACGTGTCCATGTCCCAAAACACGTGACCTGCGTAGTCGTTATGAGGTCCTCCGCTGACGTCAGCAAGAAGTTTACCTCCTCTCGAGAGTCCACCTATAGCACAAAATAAGCTATACTTATAGCACAAAATAAGCACCTATAGCACAAAATAAGCTCCACCTTTAGCACAAAATAAGCTCCACCTTTAGCACAAAATAAGCTATACTTATAGCACAAAATAAGCTCCACCTATAGCACAAAATAAGCTCCACCTTTAGCACAAAATAAGCTATACTTATAGCACAAAATAAGCACCTATAGCACAAAATAAGCTCCACCTTTAGCACAAAATAAGCTCCACCTTTAGCACAAAATAAGCTCCACATATAGCAAAAAATAAGCTCTACCTATAGCACAAAATAAGTGCATATCAAAGTTTCTTTTTATTCAACTGCTCTGTTTCGTTTTGGAGTCTTAATTACCCTTCATACCCCTTTGTTTTTTCTTAGCATATTTTTCTTTATTCTTACAGAATGAAGTTCTAATACATGTAAGATTTGTGTACATCTTTGAAAAACAGTTAATATTTTGTATCTCTGAGTCTTGCATTATGTTAATCTGAACTGTGTTCTACCTGGACTGAGTCCATAGAAACTGACCGATTTCTTGGCAGGAAGTGATGACAAAATATGATAGAAGCAAGTGTTTATTGTCATCTGAAGATCCTCATTTCCAACAATCCTAATTTTACCTTTCCCCCACAATCCTTGCCATTCCTGATTCAAAAAAGGAAATGGGATATATAAACCGCTCTTTGAAAATAATATCAAATTTAAGTGTGCAAACGTAAATGATAACAAATTTACACAGCGGTTACAAATTGATTGTTATATATACATAACTTCGTTTAATTTACTTAACCTCTAATGCAATGGTGGATGAATTTAATAGAATTATCTGTTGACTATGAATCCAAACCTAAATAAACTCACAAAAGATTTTGTTTTGCAGGTATGTGTTATATGCTGTTACCTTAGAATGCAGCCAATACAGCTGATCTGAACTCATTGCCAGAGCGGTGGTGTACCGGTGAGATGCCTCCGTCTTGTTCGTATGAATGGAGGTGACGAATTTAAACGTTTTAGACGTCTGTAATGACGTCAGAGATAATGAATCGGGTACACGCGTCCAGTAATGATGGATGGTTGTCTGTACACTGTTGTTTGTTTCAGGTTGCATTATTGGTCCAAACTGGTATCTGGAATAGATCTGTTTTAGAATAATCTTGCTTATTGTACGAGAGATCTATATGCTCTTGCATCATTATCTAGATTTTGGATAATACCCCAATCTGATTTAAATTAAGAAAAATCTATTTGCACTAAATTTTACAGGTCTCTTCAATCAGACTGGGGTGTGCCCCTCCGTACCCAGTGTTGTTGTCTACTGTCCTTCTTTCTAGATTGAAGTCTGTGGATGTTTTCCCTTTATTCAGATGTAGACGAACATCAAGGCATGCTTGAGATGGTTGGCTTTTGGTTAGTTTTATAATGACGATTAGAAGACTGGAGAACAATCTGTGAGCGAAGTATTTAGCTTCTACCTCACAATCCGACAGGTTGGCATGATGTATAAAAACACCTGCAAACAAAATATTTATCTGTAAACGCTAATTATATCTTTCCAATTAACTGTAATATTCAAAACCTGGCCGAGGAGCTTCAGTCTTGGGAGATTATCTAGATCTACAATCTGACAGTTTATATGTTACCATTCCACATATCCAGACTATATTTTTCGGAAATGGCGTCACTCATGACGCGGATAGACGCGGTAGAAGGAATCCTCGCTCGGTGGCTGTCTTCGCGGTAGCCATTAAAGACACCATCAACGTAAATTGCGTCACTGAAGACATTTGTGGCTACAAATCCATTTCCTATAGGTGGCGCAAAACGGTCATCGTCTGGAAATCTATAAATTCCAAACAAACAGATTTTAAGACTCGTGCAATTAAGGACGCATGCAATATTCCTGGAAAGATGTTGTTCATCGTGAGAAAATACACCTTTGCAAAGAATATTTCAATCGATTTTCGCTTAAATATTTAAATATTACATTGATTTCTTAATTATAAAACTACGACTTCTTTTACTGTTTTATTTTTTAACAATGAAAACAATGAAAATATATTGTATTCTAAATATTATATATATCTTACCTGTTAGATTTAAGAATAAAGTCACCATGATCAATAGTTTCTGCACAAGACACTAAAACTAAAAGTAAAAGTCCAACAATCACAGCTAATCTCATCTTTGGATTAACAAACAAAGAGTTTGTTTTATTATCTGTGATACTCCATGACATGGTCTCTAGGAGTTGTGTGGTGAAGAAGATATGAAACCAGTGTGGATCCCTCCCATCCGGGGACAATGGCGAGAAATTGACACAGTGACTGAACGAGACTGTTCTGGATATCTCGTAAATAAGATTCGGTTCAACTGTACTTTAGGAAAGAGAATGAAAAATTCATGTCATATACAGTCATATTTGTTTTAAGACTTTATTAAAATTTGCTACATTAAGTTGAAGAATCTTGTTATTTAAATTACATGTACTTGGGTCATTATCCAAAATAATAATACAATTAAAGAAACTCATTTTCTATATTTGTATTTTTAATAATATTTCAATGAGGATGTTTGTCAGTCTAATTGAAAATAAAAACTAATGCTTTTGATGTCAATAATTTCTTTCTTTAAAATCTTGGGCAGACATGAAAACCAATTTGTTGTCTACCGCTTTTTACGAGGTGACATGAAATCTCGTTCATTTGTATAATGAACTCTGTCTTTCGCAAAAACTTTCTTTGCTCATAACTTTTGAATGGGGAAAGATGGGACTTTCATACGTCTCCTGTACGTCACCCGTGGCAAGATCTTTTCGAATATAATATACTTTTTGACAAAGTGGACTTGACCATGAAATTTATCCTTTTTTCAAGAATTTAAATCCACTTTTCCTCAATCATAACTTGTGAATAATAAGATATGTTTATATCTTCATATTTCAAATGTTCATTACTTCTGAGAAAGACCTTTCCTCGTAATTTTGACTCCGTGACTTTGACCTCGAAGTTTGAGGTAGCTATTAATACTTTAAAAAAAATTAACATCAATGTTAATAAGTTTTCAATGAAAGAAGAAAGACCATTTATATTTTACATGCACATTATTTATGGCAAGACGTTTCAAAACATACTGCTTAGAGACTTTTTACACCTCGACCTTGAAATTTGACCTAATTTTCAAAATTTTTGAAAAGATCTGACTCTGAGCCTCTCTATACTGTTTTATACAGTTTATGAGAATAAATTCTTGTCTTGTCTTGACTGATTACTTTAAACTGAGTGAAGACAGAGGATTTATACTTGAAAAGTGCATAACCTTTGACAATAAGTTTGCGATTGAGTTTGATAATTTTTTTTTAACAAAGCTGATAACGTTGGAATGAGAGAAGATAGAAATTCATTATATTTGACATGTGCATCGCCTTTTTTAGACCTTTCCGAATAAACACCAATTTTGATCTCATGATTTTGATCTTTTAAAATCTTAATTTGACCTATATTCCTTTATTCATTTTTAGCTCTACTCATCAGAGACCAGCAGAGCTTATGCGATAGTAATGTGTCCGTCGTCCGTCCGTCTGTCTGTCAGTCTGTAAACAATTTTCAAAATGCTACTTCTCCTACAGTTTTGGTTTGATTTCAAAATAACGTGGTAAACAAGTTACGGAAGCGTATTAGTGCCACTTAGACACTTCACTTTTTTTTAATTTCTACACTTTAAAGTGTAAATTTTACACATAAAAGTGTAAATTTTACACATTAATCTGTAAATTTTACACTTTAATCTGTAAATTTTACACTTTAAAGTGTAAATTTTACACATTAATCTGTAAATTTTACACTTTAATCTGTAAATTTTACAGATTAAAGTGTAAATTTTACACTTTAAAGTGTAAATTTTACACTTTAAAGTGTAAATTTTACACTTTAAAGTTTACACATTAATCTGTAAATTTTACACTTTAAATTGTAAATTTTACACTTTAATCTGTAAAATTTACACTTTAATCTGTAAAATTTACACTTTAATCTGTAAATTTTACACATTTATGTGTAAATTTTACACATTAATCTGTAAAATTTACAGATTAATGTGTAAATTTTACATTGTAAAGTGTAAATTTTACACTTTAATCTGTAAATTTTACACATTAATCTGTAAATTTTACACTTTAAAGTGTGAATTTTACACTTTAAAGTGTAAATTTTACACTTTATTTGTTTATTCACATTAGTCAATTTAGCAACATCACACATTCCCAGTAACGCATTTTAAAGCCAACAGACTGTTAATCATGCAAGATAATTACAGAAGCGTAAGATCTATCTGAACTGCAAATTAAAAGATCTTTGAGATATATATTTTTACTTTTCGGTACACCCATAGTAAAACTAAAGAAAAACATGTATATATACTGAAACAAAAGCAGATCCCTGATTTCTTATGCTGGGGAAAATTACGAGACCCATGAGGAAATAGTCCATCCTTGTTTATCATATACTAATAAACAAGTACGAGTACCTGTAAAATAAAAATATACAAACAATTGCAAACATCTCAGTTCAATACTTTTTCTCAAGTGTCAGAGGTAAATCATCACAAATCGATCGTTCGATCATAACCTATTGCAGTTCGGGTTGTTCAAAATAAAGTGTAAATTTTACAGAATAAAGTGTAAAATTTACACTTTAAAGTGTAAAATTTACAGATTAAAGTGTAAAATTTACACTTTAAAGTGTAAAATTTACACTTTAAAGTGTAAAATTTACAGATTAATGTGTAAAATTTACAGATTAAAGTGTAAATTTTACAGATTAAAGTGTAAAATTTACACTTTAAAGTGTAAAATTTACACTTCCACAAAGTGTAAATCTGTAAAATTTACACTTTAATCTCTAAAATTTACACTTTAATCTGTACATTTTACACATTAATCTGTAAATTTTACACTTTAAAGTGTAAATTTTACACTTTAAAGTGTAAATTTTACACTTTAAAGTGTAAATTTTACACTTTAAAGTGTAAAATTTACAGATTAAAGTGTAAAATTTACACATTAAAGTGTAAAATTTACAGATTAAAGTGTAAAATTTACAGATTAAAGTGTAAATTTTACACTTTAAAGTGTAAAATTTACAGATTAAAGTGTAAAATTTACACATTAAAGTGTAAAATTTACAGATTAAAGTGTAGAAATTAAAAAAAAGTGAAGTGTGCAAGTGGCACTAATATGCTTCCGTAACAAGTAGACTATACTAAGATACATAATTCTTTGTATCGATTTTTGATTTAGGTGAACGGTGTTGCCGTGATTACTAAAAATAGAAATTTATGTGAAATACTTTCAAAACGCTACGCTTCCTACAGTTTTGGACTGATTCCAATTTAACTTGGCACACAAGTAGACTACACTAAGATACATAATTTTACTTATTGTTTTCTGAGAACGATGAATGGTGTTGCCATGGTTACCAAAAATAGAAATTTCTGTGAAATACTTTCACAGTGCTACTCAAAATACAGTTTTATTCTGATTATAATATAATGTGACATGTAAGTAGAACACACTAAGAACATAAGATACATTATTGTCAGTTTTGTGTTTTTGATTTTGATGAATGATGTTGCCATGGTAACCAAAATTGAAAAAAACTAAAATTTTATTGAAAGCTGCCGCTACATTTACAGTTGCAATCTTGTCATAAAAAGAGACTTAAAGAGACTTTAATCAAGGATCGATCATGATTCTATTTATTGCTTATGTAAAGTTTCAAGTCCCATCTGCTGCTGTTCTCTTCCTTTGTTATAAGTACAAACAAGTAGAGCTACAGTCTCGACATAGACTTCTTGTTTAAAAATACATTGGTGATAACTTTTGAATGAGAGAAGATATGGATCTTATATTTAATTATTTCCTGCATAAAACACCTTCATTCAGGTCCAAGGTATATCGTTTTTGACTTCATGACCTTGACCTAGGAGATGGATGGACGGACAAACAAGACAGTTACAATATGCCACAAATAGTTTTAAAAATCTCAACCAATTGGACACCAAATTAAAAGCAGGTGACCATCATTCTTACAATCTGCTTGCTTCAACTTTTCATTATCATTCCTATGGCCATGATAGATGGAACACTTCATTAAGTAAATCAAATATGGAACAGATATAGTCTAAATACAGTTGAATTTCAGTTTCTGAAACATCACAATCTCTGATACCATAGGTGAGTCAAAGCATTTTACCCTGATTCCTTGAATCGGTAACACTGACTTACAGATAATGAGGCTTTACTGTAAATAAATTCATACTTTACCATTTATTTATACAAAATCTTATTCACACAAAGTGAATGGGATCAGGCAACAGGCAAAGCCTATAGCCCTCTCCCTACAAGGTTTTGCCATAACATCTCACATATGGAAGTTCCTTCCCCTATGCATACACCCCCACCTCATTTTCTCTGGAAAAGGAATTAACAGGAGGAGGTCGGAATGGCCTAAATCCTCAGCAATTCAATTTAGAAAAAAAAAATTAATATGAAGAGACTTTATGTTAACCTTTTTTTATTTTAAAAACACCAACCAATATGACATACAAAAACCATAAATATGCGTATAAAAAAAGCAAAGCCAATAAACTAAGAAGAAAAAAATTCTGAAATCAAAAAGAGAATACTGATTTAATCACTTGAACTAGAAAAACAAACAAAATGCATGTATATACAAACATGAAAAACAAGCCCTAAAAAAACCAACATGTATATAATACTGATAACGTATAAAAATATAAATATTAACAAAAAAATTGTGAAAGACTATTTGTGAAAATGTCACTCCAAACAATAGCATGTGCAGTCTAGATCAGCTTCTGTTGTCCGTGATGTCTACCAGTCAGTAGGATCAATGGTGAATTTGGAGAACTCTCGATTCACAACCTCGTGTTCATTGTAGAAGTTTGCTTTGGTGACAGAGGAATATGGACTACCACTGCAAACCAGGAATTTTTTCCTATTGTACAAAATTTAAAGCCAGTTAGAAAAATATTTTTAATGTTACAATACTGATCTGCATGCATTGCTGAAAAAAATCCTAAAAGTGACTTGGATGATACATAATACCATAAAGAGGGTCTTGATGAATAGTGGTTAGTTTAATCATGATTATAAGTGTAATAATGTGAAGTGTAACAATAGTACATGTAAGTGTAAAGACAATTTACTTGATCTCTATTTGTCTCTTGTTCCCCTGGATTTTCAGTGTATTTTAATAATGGTAATTATTACCTAATCAAGTGAATTTTGTTGTTTTATTAGAGCTTTAATATTTTCATCTATTCTGTATGTGTTTTCAGTTTTTCTTATCTTTTCAAACCGATCTATTGACCGGTCAATAGACAGCGCGTTCTATTGACCGGTCAATAGGCTGCACGTTCTATTGACCGGTAACGTATTTCGAAAAAAAAAAAACGATCCGGGTTTTGAATTTAGTTGTTTGTAACAATGCACAGACATGGTAAACAATCATCTCCCTATTTGATCTTTCCACATTGGTTTTAAAAATTGTATGATTTCAATGGTCGGGTATTTTAGAGACCGTTCCTTTGGTGAGACCTATAAACCGAAGTCCCGTGTAGATGTAGGTGCTCTGCTGGCACGAAAAAGGTCCCTCTCCACCGGGAAATGGTGGCGTCTCCATAAGAGTGAAAAAATTTTGAGAGGAATGTAAACAATATCTATACAATCAATCTTTAATTTATATTACAGATGCACCATATCTAGGTATACATTTACAATATGGTACGGGAACCTTCTGTACTGAATAAACAGTTGTGAACACTTAATACAGAAAATAAAATTAGGTAATAAAACTATTATGTAATGCCTGAGCAGTCAATAGACCAGAAAATTTTTCCCTCGGTGCAAGGAACAGCTCAGTGTGTTCTATTGCCCTCGGCCGCTGGCCTTGGGCAAAAGAACACTCTGAGCTGTTCCCTGCACCTCGGGAAAAATATTCTGGTCTATTGACTGATCAGGCATTAAATAATTGTATACTATTCTGTATGTGTTTTCAGTTTTTCTTCTCTTTTCAAACCGATCTATTGACCGGTCAATAGAAACGCGTTCTATTGACCGGTCAATAGACTGCGCGTTCTATTGACTGGTAACTTATTTCGGAAAAATAACAATCCAGGTTTTGAATTTAGTTGTTTGTAACAATGCACAGACATGGTAAACATCTTTCGACATTGGTTTTAAAAATTGTATGATTTCAATGTTCGGGTATTTTATTTAATCAGAGTTACTTTAATTAATACACCGACGTTGAGACTGATCCTTCGGTGAGACCTATAAACCGAGATCCCGTGTATCAGTAGGTTCTCTGCTGGCACGAAAAAGGTCCCTCTCCACCTGGAAATGGTGGTGTCTCCATAAGAGCGAAAAATTTTCGAGAGGAATGTAAACAATATCTATACAATCAATCTTTAATTAATATTACAGATGCACCATATCTAGGTATACATTTTACAATATGGTACGGGAACCTTCTGTTCCGAATATACAATTGTGAACACTTATAATACGGAAAATAAGATTAGGTAATAAAACAATTATTTAATGCCTAGTGAGCAGTCAATAGACCAGAAAATTTTTCCCTCGGTGCAGGGAACAGCTCAGTGTGTTCTATTGCCCTCGGCCGCTGGCCTCGGGCAATAGAACACACTGAGCTGTTCCCTGCACCTCGGGAAAAATATTCTGGTCTATTGACTGCTCAGGCATTAAATAATTGTATAATGTACATTGTAATACATGTAATGGTAAATGTTATAATGGTATGTGTTATTATGGTCAGCAGGGTTGTCCCTTACACCCGTGGGCAGGGGTAATTTCCCTGGCTATAATGATGTAATATCCCCTAATTTATTCTCGTATTCTCCTTCAACGAGTTAAGCAACGAATTAAACAATTCCCCCTGTTAGAAGATGAACCCCAGACTCCTTTCTACTTTTTTATGCTGCACTCCCACTATCCAATTGTCAGGGAAGACCCTGGGTAAATTTTAAAACAATAAATGTAATAATTGATAAGTGTAATTATGGTAAATGTAATCATGATATAGGAACAGAAGCTGACATAAAAGCAAGAATAGGAAAGGCCAGAGTAGCATTCTTGCAACTTGAAAACATCTGGAAGACCAAGGGAATAACAACATGCACCAAAGTTAGGCTTTTTAACAGAAATGTCAAGGCTGTGCTTCTCTTTGGTTCCGAGACATAGAGGATGACTGTTGCCACAATAAACAGAATACAGACATTTGTCAACTCTTGTCTGAGACGCATCTTCCAGGTTAGATGGCCCGACAAAATAATTATAATAAATAAGAAACACCAATCTGTGCCAATTAAGAACAAACCAAGCCCCTATAAAAGCAGAAATAATGCAGAGAAGGTGGAGGTGGATACGGCATACTCTACACAAGCCACATAAAAACATCACAAGGCAAACCCTATCCTGGAACCCCCAAGGAAAACGTAAGAGAGGGAGGCCAAAGAACACCTGATGGAGAGGTTTGGAGGCAGACGTCAAAAGAATGGCAGCCTATGCCCCAAAAGGGGTAGCAGGCATAAGTAGGTAAGTAATCATGGTATATGTAGACCACATGTAATAATGGTTAACGTAATTAATTTATGGTAGGTGTAATAATAGTACTAAGTGTAATAACGGTAATGCAATAATTGTTAATGTAATCATGGTAGATGTAATAATGGTATAAATGAAATGAATACTGACATGCTCTCGACTTGACCCCTGTTCCCCTGTAGTGTGCCTCTGATGGTCCCCTTCTCTGTATTCATCATGTTCCCAACAACTCCCAATTTGTTAGCTGCTGCATAGGTGTACTGTCAAATAATAAAATGTGCAATCATACAATTAAGAAGGCATTAGAATGTGCATGAACATGGGTATGAGAGAAAATGGAGTTAACATGGATTTTATAATGTTAATAAGAAGTATTTACACAATCAACATGTAACTTTAAATTTTTAACTTTTATTCTGGTTTCTTTATGTTTTGAACTCTGTATAATAAATCAATTAAAATTTTCTATCAAGAATATAATTTTTTCATTTGAAGAGACCAGCTTTACTAAATACAAGTTTCAATCAGTAGAATATCTTACACATCTTACACTTCCAGCAAAAATATTCACTTATTAGTTAATTCATAATTTACTTACAGGTTTCATTGCAACACCTAGAAGGAAAAAGTAAACCAAAATGAAAAAGATGTAAATATACATATAAAACAAACAAAAAATGCAAATAAAAAAATCACATTTTGTTCCAAGAAAAGAGAGAAAAATAAAAAAAAAAAATCCAACTTTTTCTGCATCTCTATATATATTTACTATTTGATGAATTGTTGGATTATACAAAAAAAATCATACCTTGAACATTTCCACATAGTTCAAAATCAACTGAAATAGACCTCTGGAAAGCCATTTTCTTAGCAGAAAACAAACCGTTGTCAAAGTGAAAGTTGATGTCAATGCTGGTTCTCTGCCCTTGGTTCCGAAAGCTGCCGAAATTTACCGAACATATTCCGAGTGCTCTTCCGAATAAAAAATAAAAGGGAGACGTTGATTGGTCGAAAAATGGAACTTGACCAATCAAGATAAACGAAACAATTTTTGTACGTGACATAGAATATAGAGACTTTCGTAGAGCAATGTCATGTTGAATTAGCAAATTTGGGATTATTTCATAAGATGGATACCAGAGAGGAGGCTTTAGGCTTCAAGCCTCAAAAGGATAAAATCTACAATAAGTTTTTACCGTATGCGGAAAATATAGACGATGAATCTAATGCAGCCTTAGCAGAAATCAAAGGAAATCTGGCAAAGGCCGTTCTGCTAAGAGACGTGAAAGTAGGAGCTACTTTTTGGGTTGGACAGCTGACCAGGTAGTATCAAAGTTGTAACGTGAAAAAAAATGATAGAAGTCAATGCAGTTTGACATTTGATGCAGTAACCAGTCAGTAGAATAGTTTTGGTACATCCTGTTTGAAACAAGATTTAGAGATAACATTTTATATTTGAAGAAATTAAAAAATTGTTTAGCTATTCAAGCCCCATGAAGGGTACAAGTCAATTAACAAATAGGACCCACTTCATTAGTCTGTATTCAGCGTATGCAAAACTGTGTTGGTCATTTGATAGAACATACTGAACTATCGGTAAAATTATATTGTTCTACAGACCACAGGGGCCTGCTTCTGCGTTTAAATCAATCATTATATATTTTAAATTATATATGTTATACCATAAAAACACATGGGAGGATGTCAATTTGAACCCATCCTCGCTTAAACCTTTGTTTTCATTATAATTTCCCGGCCATGAGGGGCCTTTGACTCGATTCTATCAAGTAATGATTCCTCTAAGATATATGCTTGAATTTTTTTCTTGGAGTTTCTACAATACACCTTTCAGTCTAATAATAATTAAAACCTGCTCTTTAGGGCAGTTGATATGGATTCTTCAATTTTTTATTTGAGTGGATCGATCCATTTTAATTTGCTACATTGCAACTATTGGTTGCAATGTAGCAACTGTAACTGAGAATCATTTAGATTATTCTTCCTAATTAGGTCATTATTGACAAACGAACTTAACCAGCAAAACAACAGTAGTTGCTTTAAATGTTTCATCATACATGTAAACATTTAACATCCATCTAGTTCAATCCGAAGTAATCAATGATTAAGTGGATGCTCTGTGCAATCACTGTTTTAACATCTTTGCAACATGTGCTCTAAATTTATTATCCCAAGTGGAATGCCCTTATTTAATATCATTAATATGTTGGTTCATATCTTATATTGGAAATTTTACTTGTTTCAGATACATCCGTTTGTATGGAATGAAATTCTCCAAGGAGGATCATATTCTGTTCATCAAGCTGTTGTTTGAATTGACAACCATTCCTGACCTCGAGCTTTCATTGGTTCCTAAGTTTGCAACCCAGCTGGTTGCCTTGCTGAAGTAAGTTGAAGATGATGAAATGTTTAAATAAAATTGATTCACAACTTATAAAAGTTATCCCCCTTTATGGATGTTTTTGCATGGTTTATCAAATATGGAAGAAAAGAGAAGCTTTTTGTATGAAAAATTCTTTGATTATTAAACACTAACACATGAATGTTTTTTAAGTTTGATTTTTTTTTTTTGGGGGGGGGGGCAATAAATCACTGTGACAAACTTCAAAGTATATTTTATAACTTGCAGATTTTGTATTACTGTTTTCACTTGACTATAAAGTAATTATCAGAGTTTATGCATATGTATATTGCTACATTGTAAATAATATTGTTTAATGAATTATATTTTACAGGAAACAAAAACTGTTGACACGTGAAGATTTAGAATTGCCATGGAAACCTATTTATCAGCTAACGAAATTAGCATCCAAAATAGGCCTTACGCTTTCTCCCCATATGAACATCATGGATTGCAGTTATTTCCACAGTAAGTTATATTTTTCTGTGAAAGACAATTGCTTCAGTGATAAATGAATGAGAAAATTTTAACAAGGAAATATCAATGTACAATATGATTTCCACACTGAACTGTTTTTTTAATTTTTAGGTCACCTGAGTAACTCAGGTGACCTATTGCTATCCGTTGAATCTCCAAGGTGTCGTCGTGTGTCAGTGTGTGGAATGGGTTTTTCGTACTGTCGTGCAGACGTGTGTTAACATTTGAACATTTTCAGCTTCTTCTCTGAAAACCACTAAACCAATGTGTGTTCAACCAAATTTGGTATACAGCATCTATGGGTGAAGGGGAAAGAAAAATTGTAACATTTAAATGGTCCTGAGATACGGTTTTAAAGTTCAATCTTGGGGCCTGGGGGGTGAGAGGGGCACAAAACCGTTGATTTATAAAATATAAATGCAATCTTTAAAAATCTTAATAATTTTACTCCTGGACATCAAGCAGGCAAACTGTTGGCATGAATGTAATAACAAGCTTTGATGATATATACATTTAACAATTGTGAGAATTCAAATTAAATTTGGCCCCAGGAAACCTTTGGGGTATCCTTAGATGTTTTGTATGGCTATATAGATTATATAGTGAAAATGCATTTATTCTTTGAAAATCTTCTTCTCTGCTCCTGGGTATTAAATAAACTAACCAAGCACATAGTTATGATGAGCACTTTTCAGATTTGCCTCTTCCAAAATTGTGAATTTTATGCACAAAGTATCCCAGGGTGAAGGGGTTCAAGTTTGTTAGGGAAGGGCCACACCCTTTTCATATAGTGAAAATGAATTTGTTAAAAATTAATCATTTTTAAAAAATCTTCTTCTCTACTTCTGGGTATTAAATAAACTAACTAAGCACATAGTTATGATGAACAAGAGTGCCTCTTCCAAAATTGTGAATTTTATGGCCCCAGGGTCAGGGAATATATAGGAAAAATCTTTAAAAATCTTGTTACTGGGCCAGGAAAGATGAAACTCATGTGGTTATATAGTGAAAATGCATTTATTCTTTGACTACTTCTGGGTATTAAATAAACTAACTAAGTACATAGAATATATAGGAAAAATCTTTTAAAAGTCTTCTTCTCCAAAATTGTGAATTTTACTCATGTGGAATAGGTCCCAGGGTCAGGTAAATTTAAGGTTCAAATAGGTGTTAGGGTGGGGCCCTATTGACCCAATTTTTACATAGGAATATATAGTGAAAATCATTTATTCTTCTGGAAATCTGAAACTTCTCTGCTCCTAGGTATTAAATAAACTAACCAAGCACATAGTTATGATAGGAATATATAAGAAAAATGCCTCTTTCAAAATTGTGAATTTTGTGACCCCAGGGTTAGGGGTCAAATTTGTTGTTAGGGCGGGGCCCTATTGACCCAATTTTTATATAGTGAATATATGCAAAAATCTTTAAAAATCTTCTTCTCTGCTTCTGGGTATTAAATAAACTATGTAATTAAATAGTTATGTTGATCAAGAGTGCCAAAATCAGTTTTACAAAATATATAAGAAAAATTTTAAAAATCTTCTTCTCCAGAACCACTGGGTCAGGGGTTCATGTGGTGTTAGGTAGTGTAGATTCTAGTTGGTTATATAGTGAAAATGCATTTTTCATAGGAATATATAGGAAATTCTTTCCTTGCTCCTGTGTTTTATGCCACTGATCCAGGAATATATATACTCATGATGAAGAAAAATGCACCTAGCAAAATGGTTAGTTTTTTTATGCCCCCCGGGGTGGGGGTGAAGGGGGGGGGGACCCAAGTTTTACATAGGGATATATATAAATTAATGCTTTGAAATTTGCTCTTTGGTGTTAATCAACCATTTTATCATAAAATTTGCAAAATTTGGAAATATGTCAAGCCCCATGTGCTCAGTGGTTCCTTTGGCCCTTGGGCCTCTTGTTTTTTTTTATTATTTGGGGGGGGGGGGGTTATAAAACTTCAGTGTAAGTGCATATTTCATAACTTGCAGATTTTGTATTACATGTTCTATTTTCACTTGAATGTAAAGAAATTGTCAAGTTTATGCATATGTATTCAGTTATGTTATAAAATAATATTGTTTAATAAATTATATTTTACAGGAAACAAAAACTGTTGACACGTGAAGATTTAGAATTGCCATGGAAACCTATTTATCAGCTGGTAGAAAACGTAGCTTACTCCCCATACGAACATCATGGACTGCAGTTATTTCCACAGTAAGTTATATAACTATAAAGGACAATTGCTTCAGTGATAAATAGATAAGAAGATTTTAACAAGGAAATATCATTGTACAATTTGTTTTCCACACTGAACTGTTTTTTTTATTTTCTTTTAGCAATATGGAGCACGATTTGAAGAACCTTGTTAACTACTGTAGGACGTAAGTTTCTCTGCCTTGACATTCGACACTGGATTTTATTGAAACATTAAATGTTGTTCATAGTCATGAAATAAGATGTATTTGTAATGTTATAATTCATGAAAAACAATGAACATCTTCAACAGAGTATTTTGTGCTAATCAGAAGGATTATTAATTTTATCAAAACAAGAACAAGGATATTACAAGGTAGTAAACTTTTTGAAGAGTTCATTTGTCTGACAATTAAAACATTAAAAAATAAGCGCTTGATGGATGAAGATTATGCCAGTTCATGTGAGTTTACATGCAGAAATACACTGAATAAATAGAGGTGCATCTAATAAATATGATAAATTTACACCTTGGTTTATTTTTAGCTATTTCCCACTCTCAGCCACTCAGGAAATGCTGGATGAATGGCGACCACTGCTCTGTCCATTTGACGTGACCAACATAAAGGCCATTCACTACTTCGAATATTTCTTGCCAACCGATCTACTTCCTGAAAACCATGCTAAAGGATTCAAGTGAGTTTAGTCACCTTGTAAACAACTGGAATGCTATCACGATGTAAACAGCAATGTAAACAAATGTTCCTGTATGTTAATATCATATGATACATGTACATTAGATTTCTAAAACCTAAATGTCAGCTTAGAAAGCTTTTTTTAATTAAACCTTATCCCCTAATAAAATTTTTTAATTCTAATGAAACAAAGCTATTGAAAATAATGTTACACCTCTGTGACTTGAAATTTGACAGGGTCCCTTTTTTCCTTCAATTAAACACTCACATATCTGGAAGATGGAGATGTTTTCCAAATTAATCTGAAAAAGTTAGGGCTAAAATATGAATATAAATTGTAAGATAAACTGATCTTCATCATGGAAAAATGTTATTTGTATAACCATTGACTTTTGATCTGTTGTAGACATAATTAAATTTTTTTGTAGACATAATGAAATTTTTGTTTATATGAAGTTAAGATGAATTTTAAAAATGCCAGCTCTATGTATATGTAAACTTTCTTCCAGGTTGTGGCTGGATGAGTTTCTAAACATGTGGCACTCTTACCAGAATGCACCTACATGGGAGGCGGTAAGTTATTGCTTATGTTAAGGAGAAGTACTGTACATAGATTAAATTTAGGAGAAATACTGTGTACAGAATTATATCTGCCCTTTCTGAGGCTTTCTCCCTTTCCAGCAAGTTTGCCCCATTTTGAATGTGCCCAGAGACAGTTGTGTTTAAGAGATTATGAAATCTTCTCTGTATTCTCCCTGTTTTAAATTTGTCCAATATTGAATCGGTAAAAGGGTAAAAAAATTTCCTTGAATACAGTTATTTTCCAAAAGCGAATAACACTTAACAGTGAGTTTCGTTAAAATTCAGTATTTGGACTCGTATTTTGTTAGGCTTGATATACTCAATGTACTGGAAAATTCCACTAAATAGAAAGCAAAGGTCTTTCCTTCTGAAATCAAAAAATCTTATTGCAATAAAAAAAATTTTATGTTATACAATTTTTAAAATTATGGTGAACATTCCGTTCTAGGGTTTGGTAAGGTTGTTTGCACGACTGGCACATGACACCATTGGCTATATTGACTGGTCCCCACATGTTTCCATGGTAAGCTTTTAGCTTTTTAGAATCCTATGATAAGATAACGATTACTTTCTGTTAATTTTTGGAAATCAATAAGATTGTGGCACAATATTTAATATTTGTATCCAGGTTTTTAATCGCTTCATGAGGAGTTTCAATCTGCCAGTGGGTATGCAAAAAGTACAAGTAGGCCGCTCCAACAATACGTATGACATTGGTGCCACTGTCACCTGGATAGTGTCCATGATGGTAAGATTTTCCCTCAATAATTCAGCAATTGTCTCCCTTTCCTCTTCAGAAGGAGAGTATTTCAAGTTATTGTATGACTGTTCATTGCAGGGTGGACCCAGTGGTAGTTTAGTTCAGGATCACATTGACAGCTTCTTCAAGGCTCTGCAGTCATTTTTTCATCCTTCAAATCTTGGAAAGTGGAACGTAAGTTCATCCTGCAGAAAGTTACAGATTTATTTTCCATAAAAGTGAGGAAAAGTATCCTTCTAATAAAAATGTGTTCATTTTTCAGATAAAGCTGAGTGGTCTTTTAATGAATTTTCCAAAACTGGTGGTGAAGAGAATACACAGGTATTTTTACTAAAAAGTACACTTAATTCCAAGAAAAGAATTTTTTCTTCAGATTCTAATTTTAGCCCATATTTTAATCCTCAGGGTTATTTATTTAATAAAGGGCACATAACTCTGCAAAAGAGTTTATGAATTAATTTTAAGATGGATAAAAATACAACAATGTGGAACTTTCCGAAATTAAAATATCTTTACAGTGTACAATATTATTTTTTAGAGAAAGGTACAAGAAGAAGGACTGGCTTACAGAGATTCCAGCAGACCATAAGCTGAAGGATTCGGAGATCACCAGATTTGTTAAGAGCATGCAGCCCGTGGTGTCTGTATCAATGTTCAGTAAATACGGCAGTCACGATTCAGCCGTGGCGCTGAGACACCTCTCCAACATGAGGCCCGAGCTTATCATTCCAGATTTGTTAGAGAAGTATGATTTCATATTTGGTTTTCATCTTTACCTGTACATGTACTTATTTAAATCTTGTTTTATATCTGATTTGAACTAAAGTTTACTTACAGAATCACATGAAAATGGAGATAAAAATGGAGACTTTCGTATAAAGAATATTTCATATTTATATTAGAATGGGATGTATAGAATTTAAAAACCATAAAGTTCTAAGTTAATACTGTATACAGGGAAATTTTCGTCCCTATCTCCCTCATTGGAAATGGACGAAATTAAAACTGGGTGAATTCAAAATAAACAGTATAATATATGTAATGCAAAAATATCTCTTGGCTAATTAAATATATGGCAAACTTAATTCTAAATGTGAAAGGGCAAAAATTACCCTGTATACAGTATATTTACTAGTACATGTATGATCGTTTTTAATTTAGTTAGTTTTCAAATGTTTTGCACTATATATACTTTATCTCTTTAATTATTAAAGTAAGATATTTTTCTAATCCACCAATAGGATGTACCCAGCTATGGAGAATCTGATAGAGCCCCACCGCCTGATCGCCTGTATGAACTGTGTGGTGGCGGTGTCCCGCCCAATGCTGAGTGCCAGGAGGTGGTACCCGGAGGGCCGTTCTCACGTCCTCCCTCTTCTGAACCTCGCTCTTCCGGGAATCGACCCCAATGACTTCAAGAAGTGCCTCGTCACCTTCCAGATGATCTCTACCTTTGTGGCCCAGGTTCCCATTGTTGATTGCTCAGAAGCTGTCTTCATCAGGGATGACCTTTCTGAAGTATGTATAGTATTCAAAAACACAAACTTTCTATGAATCCTACCTATAAATCAAAACACAAACTTAAGGCAGAAAGTAGAAAGTTTATTTGTTTCTCATTTTGCAACTGATAATAAAATCTGACCTGTCTTCATATTCATTGAGAAGTATACGTTTGAGCTTGAACATGTTTCTTTAGTAATTGAGTGTGCATTTATTTCAATAAGATACTGATAGTTTAAGGAATAGTGTGCTACCAGAAGTAACCTTCAAATGTACATGTAACTACCTATAAATCGAGATGTTTAAAATCTTTATTGATCTTGTTAAATCGGTTGAAAATCAGAATCGATTAATCGGTAGCATCGGTTCACCCTAACCAACTGATCATCGGCCAATAATCGAATCAGTAACCCTTTGCATAAAATAGGCATTTGATTTTATAAAATTTAGAATTTTATTGTTAAATAATGTAAGTTAAGGTGCATTGTACAGATCGAAATTCTAACAGTATATATGCAGTTTGAGAACAATTTCAGTAGGCATACAGATTTTTGATGATTAGGAATTACTTGGCCTGAACAAAAAGTGGAGCATTGACAGATCACCTTTAATTTACTGATCATCTAAAATATATATGGTAAAATTACTTTTTTAAACTGTTATAATGACTTTAATATTCACAAATCCTTGCATTCTCATGAAATAATTTTTTTCCATATCTCCAAATAGATAGGAAAAGAATATACATTGTATATTGTAGTTTAGTTTCTTCATTTTAGAAATACAAATATCATTATCTTTTGATTTATTTTAAGTCACATTTTAAGTACATGTATTTTAAAATAGGTATTGAAGGACAACACTTGGAAGATATATATTTTGATAACAAGAGCCTGTTTTTGAAATAAAAGTTGAGAAAACTATAAAAAGATATGTGCTGAAATACACCGATTAATCGATTGTTTAAATCTTATATGATTGTATATATTTACAGCCTTTGTGATCATCGATTATAAATCGATCATCGTGACAACACTAGTTGAGGCAAATCACTACATGGAAAAGTTTTTACCTCCATTTTGTGAGAGAACAAAGATAATGTAAAGTTTAGGATCATCAAGATCATGCTTGTTTTGAAGTTGATGTATGTTTTATACATCTAATAGTGTCAAAATTGATCACAAAAAAGTGTTTGGTTCCCTTTCTCCAGGCTCTCTATCAGTTTCTCTGGACCAATCTCCATTCGACTCAGAAACAAGTTAATGTTCTGTTGAAACTGTAGTATTTAAAAGCACTATCTACAGAGGGAAAGTTAAAAAAGTTTTTTTTTTACCTGCAAGAGACATTTTCTAATATATGAAGGAGCATTACTGTTTCCATAATGAAATATTAAGAAATGACATATTTAAAGTTATTTTTTTTTTGTTGTAGATGAGGAATACAAAACAGAGGAACATTTTGTAATAATGATTCATGTAAATTTGGTGATCAACACAGATTCTTATTTGTTTAGGCATATAACATGTGAACATTTAGTTCTTTTGACATCATACAGTAATTTCCCCCTGTTGGAACATGAAATGCCTCCAGCTTGTCCATAAGTAATGGGGTAATTCCATTGTATATCAGCTGAGACTACTACAGATGTCCTTCACCTTAAATGTCTCCAGGTTACGAAATGTCAGTTGATGAGGTACACACTAAACCTTCAAAATCTTTTTGCAAAAAAGATTACAAGTGTTTAATTAAAATGTCTATGTGAGCTCTTAATGTAAAAAATTAATCAAGGAATAATTTATATATCAATTACTTATATTTTTTTATTCTGCCTTTTAATGTGTTAATGACTTCCACATTTAAATCTATTTGTTTGCTGCCATTAAATGAAAATGTTGCAGCAGAAAAAATATATAAATTGTTAAAGGAATATTTAAAATTTCATGTAAATGGGCACTGGTGTAAGTTGGTATTTTGATATCTGTGATGACATATACATGTACATTTTGTATAAGGGTATTTGTTATTAGCACTGACAATGAGTTCATTGCTTTTACAGGACTGGGCTATACCTGGTGATATGGATATACTGAGTCTGGTCCATGTCCTATCATGTCCACCACATTTTGCACTTGTCTCTTTGGACCATATACTACAGGCCAGAATTAGAGACGCCCGTGTCATTCTCATCAAATCAGATTGACAAGTGAGAATAACCTCATAATTAAAGTCCATTCAGCATTTTTTTCACAGTATATCCTCATTCTTGGGGCTTTTTTCAAAGATTTGTGAATTGTAAAAGATTTTTCTTTTTTAATAAATTTGTGGATTTGATTTTATGTATGTTTTTTGATTTAACAGGGAGGAGTTGTTACGGAGACTAAGCCACATGGAGTCCTATAGGGGCGGGGGCTGCACTTTCCTCACAATCATGGTCCATTGATTGATGTACCAAGTTATCAATATGTTTAGAGCTTCTACAGAGCAAAGATTAATTCAGTGACCTTTCTTTTTAGGTATATAAATGAAAGTTTGTATGTTTTTAGCTATATCACAAAATATAAATGATTTCAATTGAAAAACTTTGTTGAAGCTGTTGAATTTAGTTTATGGTGATCTATACTAGGTATTCTCTTTAAATTTCACATAAAGAGAATCAGACTACTTAAGATAATTAATGGTAATACCCAATTTCAACCAAACTTGCCACAAAGTATCCATGGGTGAAGGGGATGATCAGGTTTGCTTCACAATAAGGGCCACGCCCTCTACAGGGGAAATTTTTGGAATTAATGAAACTGCTTTAAAGTTTTATCCAACTTTGGTGGCAGTATTTTAAAAATCTTCAGTATTTTACCACTGTGCCAGGAAAGATGAAACTTAGGGCCATTAAACATCATCAGGTAGTGTAGATTCAAATTTGTCCAAATCATGACCCCCGGGGGTAGGGCGGGGCCAAAATGGCCGACCAAAGTTTTACATAGAAATATATAGGAATATTCTTTAAAAATCTTCTACTCAAGAATGACAAAGCCATAATTCATCATATTTATATGGAAGCATGCTCAGGCAGTGTAGATTCAAGTTTGTTCAAATCATGATCCCCGGGGGTAGGGCGGGGCCAAAATGGCCGACCAAAGTTTTACATAGAAATATATAGGAAAATTATTTAAAAATCTTCTCAAGAATGACAAAGCCATAATTCATCATATTTATATGGAAGCATGAAGTGTAATTGTTAACTGAAAAAGTAACTGTTACATCCAAAAAGTATCTGTTATCTTAAGGCCATAATAAATATATTCCAAAGTTTTACATAGAAATATATAGAAAAATTCTTTTAAAATCTTCTTCTTTCGAATGACAAAGCCATAATTCATCATATTTATATGGAAGCATGCTCCGGTTGTGTAAATTCAAGTTTGTTCAAATCATGACCCCCGGGGGTTTGATTGCCTGAAAAAAGGCCGACCAAAGTTTTACATAGAAATATATAGGAACATTCTTTAAAAATCTTCTTCTCAAGAATGAAAAAGCCATAACTCATCATATTTATATAGAAGCATGTTCAGGTAGTGTAGATTTTACTTTTTTAAATCATGACCCCCGGGGGTAGGGCGGGGCCAAAATGGCCGAGCAAAGTTTTACATAGAAATATATAGGAAAATTCTTTAAAAATCTTCTTCTCAAGAATGACAAAGCCATAATTCATCATATTTATATGGAAGTATGTTCAGGTAGTGTAGATGTTTGTTCAAATCATGATCCCCGGGGGTAGTGCGGGGCCAAAATGGCCGACCAAAGTTTTTAAATATATATATAGGAAAACTCTTTAAAAATCATTTTCTAAAAAAATAGCAAATCCATGATTGGTCATGGGACTACTTTTGGATTTAAACTTTACAATAAATAAACGAGTTTCTACTTTTTCTTAGCCACAGTGTTCAGATGAGCGATGTGGCCCATGGGCCTCTTGTTTCCTATATTTTCTAGATCCAGTCTGAATGTTAAAACACAAGTTCCATTGGATCGATTTCATGTTTCATCTGTGAAAGAATTAATAGGTAAGCCTTTATAAACAGTTTACAAAACATATATACCAGTATTCAACATCTTGATAAGATCAAACATTTGTTTGTTTTTATTCCATTAAGATACAGAATATCTCCTTATAATCAATTTTTTACATTTTATTTTTTGTTAGAAATTCAGTATAAAGGTGCTAACTTAAGGCTGGAGGTCGTGAAAGCCATGAAACATTTGCTGAGTAAGTAGGGATTTCTGTTCATTGAAAGACTTTTCAATTTAATTTTAAATGAGGAAATAAATGTTTAAGTTTTATTCTCCAGCAAATTAAAAAAATGTTTAAAAACTGAATTTCTCTTACCAGACTACCTGATGGAGTGCACAGAGGACGACACAAAGAGCTTGTCCAAACTGATCAAGGTACTGATGTCCATTATTGTTCAGCCATTTATTTTTAATCAAAAAATTAAACAGGGAATATATGTCTGTCCAGGCATCTGCCCAGACCTTCTTGTTCAAAGCTTGGTAGTGTTTGTACCCTTGTTACCTCAATTTATAATACATGTGCATACATTGTCTATGATTCAATGTTTCTGACCTTGACCTAAGGTCATTTGGACAACTTATTCTTGTCTAACTTTTGAGTGAGTTGTAGATTAAACTCCTGTTCTGGAATGCTTTTGTAAACCTGGCTGTCAGTTTTCTTTATGAAATATCCATGAACCGTTCCATACTTAACTCTTTTTTCTGTGCTGAATATTCTTGTTTTCTTTACAGATCTATGAGACCATCTTATTTTTCTATGGTGCTAGTAAACAGGACTTTGATGCTCGATGGAAGAGTCTACATTCTGTAAAAGATGCTCTAGAGGATAAGGTTTGTTATTTGATTAAATTGTTTTTAAAATTTTGTCACATGAATTATTTGTAAAGAAAAGTAACATTGAAACCTATAGATAATAAATTAATTGATTAAATCCCTGTACTATATACCTGTAAAGCAGAAAAATCTGTTAGCAGTGAATTAATTCATGTACATTTATGTATCTGTATAAAAGTACTGTTGTTTTGGATGACTTTTTCTGTAGATGCGGGATAGAAGGAAACACATCCGAGCCTTACTAGTAGACAGAGTTGTTCTACAACAAGAGGTAGGAATTCTGGACTCTTACTGTGTAGCTAAATTATTGTCATGAAAGCAATTAATTAAAAGGTTCCTAAAGACATGTTACATTTGATCTTGAAAAGTCTATGTGAGAAAATTCAAATTTTGACTTTAAGTGACGTTAGCTGTAATAGTGTAGCAGTGTACAATTTTTCATCCCTGCCCGGAATAAAAATAAATATGGAGAGAGCTTCATGATTGCAGCTAGGATGAATTATACTTCATTATATGTATGTATTTGGACAGATGAGGATGCTGTACGGACTCTCTGGTTACACAGACCATCACCAGGACATTCTGTGTGACCTTTACAACTTGGCTGTCAGTAAATATGCTGAGGTGGGTGATCTCTAGTGATTTATAGTGCTGGGTATCGCAACTCAAAAATCATATCGCGATATATTGCAATATTATATTTTGTATTGCAATATATCACGATATAAATATTTAATAATTTTTTTGCTTTTCGTCAAGGTGAAATGAAAACACAATCGCAAATTACATGTATTCTCGAGTTGATATTACAATTGTCTGATCGTGTTTTGTCAGCGCAAGTGGCAAGATAAGTTTTTTGTGGCACAATTTAACTTGTTGAATTCAATTAAGTTGTAATATTCAGATTGAGCTTTAACATGAAGGGGTTTTATGTAACATTTGTTGTCGTTTCATTTCTGAGAGAGACATGTCTGTGGTTTCTATTCACACTTCACATCGCTTGCCGCCATATTTTACCTTGAAAAGGGCAAATACAGGTGACTGTCGATGGCTCGAACTCCAATCTCTCAAAGTTCTCGATCTCTCAAAGTGAACTTCCGGTCCCGTTTTTTCCCTCTATATAACTAAGCAAATTTACTCCTGATCTCTCGAACTTCTATCTCTCGAAGTTCTCTATCTCTCGAACCAAAACATGGGTCCCGTTACACACATTTCATTGAATTTTACCCTCTATCTCTCAAAGTTTTGATTGCGCGCGTATACACGCCAATCAAGCGTAAAATTGATGCAGCCTTGACTTCACGCCCTGGACTTACCTGGAAAACACTGAACGCCTGGGGCTGGGATGGAGGTGTTAATTGGGTGTTTACATAAATGACACTACACATGTGGGTCATCTGTGTGTTGATATAATTAATTGGTTATTATATTGGTAAATAATAAACGAATTCACAACTTATTTTTGACTTAAAACCGAGACGATAATTTTTAGAAAATAATTTATAGACGTTCGATTTATTAAGTTTCCAAAGACTATGAACTTTTTTTGGAGTCTACATAATCCTAGTATTGCAAATATCGCACAAGAAATTCCTTTCTCAAGGACTGAATACCGATTAAAAACATCTGGTGAACACTGGTGAAGGACCCGATCAAGCCGCGGAATAGCCAAACCGACAATTGCTATTCTGGTTTCATGCAATCATGATAAAAGAACAAATAAATGTTGAAACTTAAGGAATTCGTTTTATTTAGTCGAAATACGATTATAAATGTTCACTTGAACTTGATAGTAAATTACCTGTAAAATACGATTGAGAAACGTGAAATTACTTTATTTACATATACTTCCGGTATTTATAATAATAGAACATCGATGATTGGAACTGAAAATTCCGGATTTTATTTACACTCTATCTCTCGAACCCCCTGATCTCTCGAACTTTTCTTGTGGTCCCTTGAACTTCGAGAGATGGAGAGTCACCTGTAACTCTTTTTGTAACAATTTATATCATATCAAACCCGAACTGGTATTCACAAAATAATACCGCGATACGTATTGTGAAGAACGAAATTGGGATACACCGGTTAACCGTTAATATCGCACAGCACTAGTGATTTACAATGTACATTGTAGGTTTTTAGTCACATTGCTGTGGTGGAATCAGTTTTTGTGGAGAGCCGATTTTTGGGAAAAAAAACTTACGCATTGATAAATAAATTTGTGGATAGCTACATATACCTTGTCAAAGTCTAATGTACATGTAGTTAGTTGATCTGATTTCTTGGGTCTGGCCCAAACTTGAAACATTAAACTGAAGTTTAGCGAGAAATGGTGCAATCACAGTCTGTTTAATGGCTATTGATATTTCTTGAAAATCGAAACAGAAATTTATGACCCAGTGATTTCAGCTCATTGATTATTGTTTTGTTGACAGGTGAGGAAGAAGGGACAGGCAGTGCTGATGCAGTGTTTTCTAAACTTTCCCTACTGTTACCGGTGCCTGCTGGACAGGATCTCAGACAGCCTCATACAGAAAGACACGCCCGAAAAACAGTTCAAGGTAAGTCATGCCCAAAAAAGCAGGTCAAAGTAAGACATGCCCAAAAAACATATAATGATCTTTGAGAAATTATCCACTCATTAGGTTTATTATTGACTTGTATGGAAACAGGTCTTATCAATCTTTTAGATAAGGAGGGGAAGCCAAGTCTTGTTTGAAATTGGTCAACCCAATTTCTTTTGACAAAAATTATATCGGTAATAATTTCAACAGTCAGGAGGAATACATGTATATTGTTTGTGTACAGTAAATGGAGAGTACCTTAACATTGTAGGGAGTGTTGTATGTGGTCCTTGGAAGTGGTAAGAGATGCCTGGCCACCAAGAGAAGCTGGGAGGTGATTGGTCAGTTATGGCCAGCCATTGTCCAGGCCCAGCAATCAGAGAAGCCATCAATTTTACGGGTCGTTGACGACATCATAGCTAAAGTCAGCAAGAATCTGGAAAGTCCAGGAATTGAAATCAAAGTATGTTTATTTAGCATACTTTTCTGTGCATGGATATCTGTACTAACTTCTCTGCATCTTCTTATAGTTAATGCAGAGTATCCGTGTATTTTTACGTGATAGGTATCATGCATATATCCATGTAGAATTTATGATGTGAGGATGCCCCCACTTTTCCCTTTTGATAGATAGGATTATTACATTTTATACTAAATACGTATGATTTATCTCTTAAGGTAACCTCCAGCTGTTTGGAAGCTGCCCAGAAGTTACTGTCCTCTGGTGTTCCTGTATCTAATCCTAACACACTGACTGAGGGGGCCGACCGGTGGGGGGAGGAGTTCCAGAACGAGTGCAATGAGTCCAACAACAGGTTTGTCTGAATCTAATGGCTCACTTATTAAATTTTTTTATAATTGATTGGAAGAATTTGCTTATTTGATTTGATTTTTTTATTTGGCAGGATGTATGTAAAAATCGTGGAAGACCTTGTGGCATTAGTGAAAGGTGGAACATTGTAAGTACTTGCATTTGTGATTTCAAAAGTTAGTGTTAGTTTTGTTTAAAAATTTAGATGGGTGTATTCCACATTTTCAATATTTTTTTTTCTTGATAAACATCAGCTAACGAATAAAATCTAACATGTTTTACCATTTGTATGACCTAGGATGTGGAAGTTCAGTCAGTACGCTGTAGAACTGTTAACACTATTACTGAGACATGATGTACCCACGCCCCCTGTAGCCGTGGAACTCTTTGTCTCCAACCTCATACATGACTCCTTATACATCAGAAAGGTACAATGATATACAAATATTTTGTTTAATTGAATTAGTTTTCATGAAGTAACAAGGGAAGGCTTTGTTGGGTTTTACATGTAATTCCATAGGCCATACTTCCTCATGATAGATAAATTCTATAATCAGTATTTGTTGAGTTTGTATATTCATGGATTAGGGACACTAAACTATCAAGCATTTGATCTCCATAGAATATAATGATTAATACAAAGAAAAGACTAAAAAATTCAGATACAAGGTCACTATCAGAGTTTCCTCCCTTGAAGACTGCAGTTTCCTACACAATATTAGTCTTATTTTATCTTCAGCTGTCAACAGCCTCTGTATCAGCCATTCTGAAGCAACAGAAGAGAAAACACAAGAAGGTGGTGGTGGACCCCTACCGTAGTGCCCCACCCCCTCCAGCGGGTACCTTCCTCCCCGGGAATCGTCCGGATAACGACTGGATCATGTACGACTCAGGCCGACTTCCAGACAATCAGGAGAAATGGGAGGCCATGGAATTTGTGGATAAAACTCACTGGGGATACTACTGCTGGCCAAGGTATGTCATTACTTTATTCTCAGCATGAAAATTTTTATTCAGTTGCTAATTAATAATTGATCATGATCATTAAATTACTTCTGTTTTGAATTCCAACATTAATTATATTGTGTTCTAATCTCCATCCAAAGGAAGAAAATAGCTAAAATAATCAAATTTTGGTTTCCATCAATTCATTTTTTGAATTCCAGAGAATTAACTGTAGTAACAATCTGTTAATATGATTTTGACATTTGAATATTAATAATTAGACGAAATTGATTAGGACTGTTAACTTTGAATCTGTTGCAGAGAAATGAAAATTTATGCCCAGTATTCAGAGCAGCCAAAACTAGATCGTCTAGAATCAGAACTGTTAGATATAGAAAAACCTATTTATGTGAAACTGAGTGACTCTGAGTTTGTGAAAAAGTTTATAGCAGTGCTTAGTTTAGAAGAGCACAAAGGACGAGATAAATTCAGGAACAAACATTTAACTCTATTCAAGGTAAGTTTAAAGGTTCTGTTTCTGATCCTTTTGGGGTTTTAAAAGCTGGAAAGTTACATCCATTAATCACATATCTGTTTATGTACATGCGATGGAGAAGAAAATAACGAAATGATAAATGTTTAAAAATATGAACAAGCTGTATAACATGCAAGCTTCCAAAGATGGCTGTATTGTTGAATTTTCAATTCAAATAATTCTTTGTATCCTTTAAATTCCATTTTGTGTTTCAGGGTCTGTTTAGGAACTACGGTGACACGTTCCTCCCCCACTTCAGACACCACATCGTGGAGCTACTGTCCGACAGGACCCACGAGCACCACGAAAGTAAACAGAGGTGTGGCATGGAGACCTTAGCTGGGGTCATACGCGGCTCCAAACACTGGCCATATGACAAGGTAGAACATTCAGTCCTCTTTCAAGTCAGAAATTATGTGTAATGATAAAACATGTATATGGCATAAATTATCAGAGAGTGTAGAAAAATTTGAATAATTTAAATACTATGTACTTGTACATGCTTGTACAGGTACCATAACCTTATGCAGTAGACTATACACTGTATGTGCTTAAACAAACTTTAGTATGGAATTAATTTGCATGTAAAATTTCTGTTTCTTGAAATTTTCTTATAGGTGAATGCCCTTTGGGACTGGGTGATCCCCATTCTGAGAACCTCCCTAGATAACATTACCAGTGAGACACTTAAGGACTGGGGGACGTTCTTCACCGTCGTGTCCGAGAGTCGAGATCCCAGAAGATTGTATCGATTCTTTGAGATGCTCATGGATAAACCTATCAGGGAGGGATCTTCTTCTTTTGAGGACTCCAGGTAATACTACTGATGGAGAAATGTTAGAAGTACACAAGTGGTTTAAAAAATTCTAGGGGGAATTCATTTGATGATAATTCAGTTAACTTTAACACAAGATTTGCAGACTTATTGAGTGATAAAATGTCCATAAATGATTCTCAAAGTGATTCACCCCACCCCCCAACTGAAAAAAACCTAGAATGATGTATCCGAAACTAAGAGACTGATTTCCTTTCATATTTTGTAGCCGTCTTTTTGCTGTACAGAATGCTTTAGTACAACAGGAATGGAGGGTACCAGAACTCCTCCATCGTCTGTTAGAGTTTCTGACACCCTACCTCTCCCACAGGTACAAGAACGTCAGGGACAGGATTGGAAGGTATGCTCCTGATATAGTGTGATTTAAATGTATAACCCAGAAAGTTGATTAATCAGATAAATGTCCATGGAAGCAGTGATGTCTGATTAGTGGATTATACAAGTTTAACTCTGTTCCTTTACCCCTTAATGACGACTTTTGACACCTAGCCCCCAACCCATAATGACGACTTTTGACACATGTGTATTTCTTTGTTGATTTGACTTGAAATTACCGCTTGTTTACAAATTATCAGAGCACAGGTGGCCACCTACAGGTTAACAATAGAAGATTGCATCATACTACAGTTAGAAATCATGTGATTTACCTGTGTAAACGAACAAAAGAATCTTGGAAAGTCCCACCGAAATTCAAAATGGCGGACTGTTACATACAATGTTTTTTGAGCATATAACTCAGTCAGTACGGAATATTTTCTCATTCAGTAAAGCATTACATGAAATTCAAGCTATAAACTACCTATTTCTTGAAAGGTTTGAAAATTATGATGATCTATATGTGTAATATACTCCAACATAAGATACGAAAATTTTGTGAAATTCGGGACCGCGCAGTGTCCATTTCGCTACCTGTTTCTCACAAATTCAGAAGATATCTTCCAATTTACACATTTTTTTAAATGTAAAGGTGTAGAAAATAATTATTTTAATAGAATTGGATCATTAAAGTATCCAAAAACGTTCAGAAATCAGTTTTAGCAGGCAAGTCTGAAAAATTGTCGACGAGATTGACATTGAAGTAGCACTACATGTACAATTTATTGATTTCTGAGGAATTAAAACTTATAAATTGATAACAAATAATAATTTAATCATTAATTATATTATCACACATATTTTTTATTATTTTTACAGTCAGTTTTGGCTTATTAAGGTAGTCCGATCCTCAGGTTTATAAAATTAGCAGTTAATTAAGTAATCAAAAATACTCATAAAAGTATCTCTGAATCCACGAAGTTATGTAAATTTATCCACATTTTTTCTTTAAAGTTTAAGATTAAAGTTAATCATATTATATAGGGAAAATTGTCAAATCTCCAAAATTTTTGCAGAAAAAGCGAATTGGAATATCAGCTATGCATTTTCTAATTGCAAATTGATCAACAACTGTATTTTAGGTTAAAAAATGATAGGTATCCAGGCATTCAGAGAAATTGTCATGATTTTTATACTTCTTTGGTATTTTTTGTTTTCTTTTTCCGTCATATATTCTATATTACTTAGAGTAAAAGGCATTTGCTATCATTTCAAGACGCCACAAATCACTTCTTATTCAATATCATGCTAATAAGCATGGGTATCTAAGTCATGGTTGAAGAAAATCTTATTTCTCTAAAACTGTATTAATTTTCTTCCTTTTATAGGGTACAAATGTCAACTTTTATAAGACCTTTCCTAAGACTTCCAAAAACCTTGAATCTTATAAAGATGAATAGAATGAAAATTGTTGCATGAAAAAATTTCATTTTCAAGCTTCATTTTGATGCATTTCAAATTAAATATTAATTTTTGGAGTTATCCTTCCTGACTGAGGATCGGATATCCTTGAAGCCGTTTTACACGTTGAAAATATCTATTTTGCAATTTACACCTGCTTCCACCTGAATTATTTTTTTACAGAAAATTCCGATCGAAATTATGAAAATAGATTTGAAAAATTTAATTTATTATGAATCTAATGATATATAATACATAGCATAAATGAAATATTTTGACCCTTATTAGTTCAGTTTTAAACTGCACTCTAATTCATTTTAAATGCTCTAAGGGGCAGCCAGGCAAACACTCTAAGGATATGGCCAGTGCATCAAATCGTGGCATTAAGGGGTAAAGAGTTAATTGTACATCATTTTTCAATTTCTATGTGAAATTTTTGATGGAACACTTTTTAGAGTTAATATTCCGTTTCAGCCTTCTGTCCAACATCATGTTGTATGACTACAGCATCACGGCAGGTTCCTCCACTAAATCTCCACACAGAGTGGACTTTGTCCAGAAAGTGATTCCACGACTGGAACCACTCAAAGACCTGGTGCTATCAGACAATGGAAACAATGGCAGCTCAAAGGGTAGGTTCTGATTCTGATTTCATAAAGATTGGACTTGTAATGGTCTGAAAAACTGTAATCATATATTGCATTTATTACTTTATATGCCCCGGAATCGAAAGATTCTGGGGGTATATGCCTTGGGATCAAAAGATCCCGAGGGTATATTGGTTTTGTCCTGTTTGTCTGTTTTTCTGTCTGTCTGTTGTCAACTTTAACCCAGCCCATAACAATTGAGTGGATGGGGCTATGGCTTTCATATTTCACAGATGTATTCCTTGTGACATGATCTTTCTTCGGGTACCACCAAATTTGACTTTTTGACTTTGACCTAAGAGTTTTACAAAAAAATACCACACTTTAACCTTGACCATAACTTTTGAACAGTTTGAGCTAGGGCTTTCATACTTCATGTGTATTTATTGTAACAAGACCTTTCTGATGGTATAAATATTTTTGACCTTGACTTAAGGCTTTGACCCACTTTTTAAAATCTTTAACCTTGGTCATAACTTTTGCACAGTTAGAAGTAAGGCTTTCATATTTCACAGGTGTATTCCTTGTAAGATGTTGACCTTTTGACCTTGACCTTTGGAGTTTGACATGCATTTGAGAGAATTCAACCCTGGCTATAAGCTGCCATACGGAGGCATCAGTAAACACTCACAAACACTTCTAATCTTTATTTTAATGTGCACAAGGAGGTGGTAGAAGTCTTTGAAGATGTAGTATTTGAATTTTTCACAGATGAGGAGAACCACAGAGAGATGTCTTCCTCGTTGGAGAAGATGGAGGTGGAAGATGATGAGGATGAAGAGAGGAAGACAACCATAAGGCTGTGTAAAACAGGTGAGGGGGCTTACACCTGTCTGAATATTCATGTAAATTAAAGCTGACATGAACTCTTAAAAAGGCATCAGTTTTCATCTTTGTACGACTTACTACATTCCTGTACGCCCTTGTCCGACATATTTGTTCGATTCCGCCATATTTAATCGAAGATTTTTGGCCACCTGTACCTGCTATATATAGCCTTGACGAATTGTTTCACTTGAGTGATTTTCTAGTCTGGCTGTCGACATGTACACATCTCCGATAGCATAGTTTTTAAAAGTCCATAAACGACCAATACATGTTTGAAAAGTAAAAATTCAACAAAAATAGAACTATAAAGAATTAAATTATTTTTGAATGCATTTGCTGCAATATAAAAAGTACACTAACACGGAATACATTTATGTACAGCAAAAATCCATGCAGGTCGAGAAAATGCGTCAAACGCAGTGATAAAACATTTACCTGAATACTGCTTTCGTTACAGGGATGTGCACATGTCGAAAGAATTATCCTATTTTACTTTTATTGAAAAATGCATCTCAGAAGTCATGTAATCCATTGCTAACTCAAAAGTAAAAGATGCTTGGACACACGTGGCCCATGCCGATCATTTTATTTGGCCAGGGAAAATATCAAAGGTTGAAAGCTGAGTGGGGTTGATTGAATTTTTTTTCAAAAATAAACATTGCTCTTGTTTGTAAATGTAGTAAATAAAAATTATGATTATACATGGTTTAACTTCATTAAATTTATTTGAAAAAAAAGCATGCATGATTGCAAATCATTCGTACCTTTTGAAGATATTTTCCTGTGATAGGAGGGGGGGGGGGGGGTATTAAACATGCATATCAACACTCTCATTAAAATATTTCTGAAAAACGTCTGAAACAGATTAATTATCATGAAATAAATACTGTGTATAGGCTTTAGTAGACCTAATATAATTTGATTTAAAGTTATTTATAATTTTGTGCATAATGAAAGAAAAAAAGAGAGCAAGTTCACATACCCCACGCTCCCCCAAAAGTCGAAGTGCTGAAATTCCCAGAAAAAAATAAATGAATCGTAATTTCCATTACATGTAATATGCTCATCTATACACATTGTGTCCTAAATATCTGCAAAGTTTGACGAAATTGTGTGCAGCGGTTTATGAGGAATTGCGCTGACAAATTGCTCATCTCTATATTCGAGATATGGCCAAAATCTAAATGTAAGAATTCTGAATTTTCTGGTGATGTGCATATCTACACACACATTTTCTCCTATAAATATCTGCAAAGTTCGACAAAACTCTGTGCAGTGTTTTATGAGAAGTTGGGGTAACCCACCTGAAACCAAAAAATGAAAAAAAAAAAAGACTGACTGACGGGTCAAAAACATTATACCTCACGCAACTTATTGCGAGGGGTATAATAAATGAGTTTGCTTCTGTGGTGCAATGATAATGAAAATAAAATTAAATGTGAATTAAATTTCTAGACATAAATAATTAATGATTATTAGAAAAAGCATATAAGAAGAGAGAGCAAACTCCCCATTCCACATTCTACCTACAATTAGCTTTTTACAAATTCTCTTTTTTTGTCTGTTGTCCAGGTCCAGGTTCGACACGTACGTTTGAGAAGGAATTTGAGAAAGTTCCCAATGTTCCCATTCCTGTGATGTATATTTCACGTTTATTATATTCCCGGCTTGAAAAGTGGGAGGGTATATAGTAACCGTTATGTCCGTCCGTCTGTCCGTGCGTCTGTCTCATACGCGTTGGGGTACCAATCTCTTATCCGCAAATCATCTTGTACCACTTGGTGAATTTTAATTAAACTTTCACAGAATCTTAGGTTTATTACATATTACCATTGTGCAAATCTTATTTTACTTTTCAGGGGTGAAGCAACGGGGGTGGGGGGGGGGGGGGAGCCCCCCCACTTTTTTCCGCCACCTAACTTATACTATAGGAAATGTTAATTGAAGGTGTGGTTTTGTTTTGTTTTGTTTTGTTCTTTTTTTTTGCTTGTCAACTTTTTCAGGTAATGAAAAAAAATCTCTGCCTGGCCAACACTTTAAATTACGGTGCTACGTGCCTGCTTTTTGATTCGACACATATTTTGGGTTTAGCGACAACAGCAAAATATGGACTTTGCCATTATAATCATATGAGAGGAGGGGTATCATTTAGAGAGCTCATTGCTCACAATATCTCTAGTTTCTATTTCAATTTGGGCGTGTGGGTTAATTTCTTGTCCAAATTAAAATTATTATTCAATTTATGTTTCGACATCCCGCCTGAGAAAAATTTTTGATCAGTTCTAAGGCTTAATAAATGGTACATCACAAAGTGCGTAGGATCTTATACCTATTATTGCCCTAACGGATAGGAGAGGGAAAGAGAGAGAGAGAGAGTTCAATATACAAAAGAGTTAATAAAAATTATCTGTTCAACCAGTGTCAAGTATCCCTACCCTAGCTCTTAAAATTATTTCTCAAATACTTCTCTAAAGAAATTATTTTTATAAAAAAAAAAAATAGCTAGACTATCAAGCAGGAATACTGAAATCTCGAAAGACTCTCTGTAAAAACACAATACAGTTACATTCCTCAAAATGCATATACTTTGTGGTCGGAGTGACCCATTTAAAAAAATCTCAAAATTGAATTCGGCAGAAATGTCAGTCTTCCAAGAATATTTAAATAACGGTCATGTCAATTATTTTTGCATGCCCCCCCACCCGCGCCTAAAAAAACCAAATGCCTAAATGTGAAATTGAACAGGGGATGGCCTTTCTCCGTGTGTGTTAAAGAACGTTTAGATGTACACATAAAAATTACTTGGTTTCGATTGGAGATTAGTACTAAAACAATCAGTTATAATTGACAAATGAATTTTGCGATGCAAACCAACTGCAGACTATATACATGACTTTGTATAGAATGTTAGAACTACATGTAGATAGACAATTCACAATTATAGCTTATGAACAGCAGTTATAATACTTTAACCCCCCCCCCTTTTCAGCCGCGCAAATACCTTCTCTTTCCACTTGTGATATTTTCCCTGACCAAAATTTGATCAGCACGGACTCAGTGTATCGACTGTACGGAGTAATGACAGTGTGTTTACTATTGAGCTTTTATGGAGTTTATTTCTTTTTTTGTGATGCATATTTCAATAAATGGGATTCAGGGTGTATATCACTTGACTTGTGCATATCTTCTAACCGATGCAGTAACCTATTTCCAGGTATGGATACGTTTACAGCGTTCGAGGCGTTTTCTCGATATGCATCAATTGCATCTTTAGGACCTGCAAATCAAAGACGTAGGTTGTTTTGTTCCATTCAAATGATATAATTTCAAAAGATGTTTGCAGATTTTACTGCTTTTTATTTCAAGTTTATTCTGCATAAATTTGCGCACTGTAAAATACGTACTCTTGCATCTAAATTTCTCTTCCAAACTTGCATTTTTTTTCCTTTTGATTCAAATCAATAATTATTCAGAAATATGATTATTATGTTGTTTGTTGTGCTTTTGAAATGTCTCGAACACCTAATGTGTTCTCATGTTCTTTACCATCGGAGATGTGCACAAGTCGATACCCAAGCCAAAAAATCAATCAAGTGTAACGACCGCATCGGGGTATATATCGTTACAATGAGACAATGTATCTGAAAGAAATATGGCGGAATACGGCTATAGTTGGTATGAAACAAGTCGTACATAGATGAAAATGTTGTGTTTTTAAGAATTCATGTCAGCTTTAACAAAGATAATGATCTCATTTATAAAACATGAAAAGAAATATGATGGGTGGACTTATTCATCATTTTTTGTTGCAGTGCTGAAGTGGATATCAGATGGTCTAGGTAGAATGTTTACCTCAACTACACCAGAGCTTTTCCTTTTTCTTCCAGTTGTAAGTATTATTGTGAGGATTGCAGAATATGCATTTCAGATCTCTTTTTAAATTCGTAAATATTTTCAAATATATGAACATACATGGACATGTATTTAACCAGAGTGATGAAAAATATTCAGAAAAACTTTTTAGTTTAAAATGATTTTCTGATATTGAGATTCATTTGATATTTCCCCCAGATCTGCACGTTAGAGAGTGAGACTAAAGATGAGGAACTGAAGACTGACTGTTCTATGGCCCTGGCATGCTTCTCTCAGGCTCTGATTCAGGAGAACAATGTCACGGTGTGTCTGGAGACCATCAGAGAAGTGAGTACAACAGAAACAAGATATGAATCTGAATTTAAATTTAAATTTCATATCCTGTCCAATGGATATGATCTAAAACACAGTTATTATACCCCCTGCAAATGAAGTTTTGGGGGCTATATAGGAATCCCTTGTCCGTCTGTCCGTCCGTCCATCTGTCCGTCTGACTATGCAATCGTGTCCGGTCCATATCTTTCTTACTGAGGGACATTAGAATCTACTACTCCACACAAAGATTGCCCATAACCTAAGGGTGTGTCATGACCTTGACCCAAGGTCATTTTGGGAAGTTCAAGGTCAATGGAAGAAAAATTTCATAATTCGTGTCCGGTCCATATCTTTCTTATGGATAAACTTGGAAGGTTCTCATTTCACACAAAGATTGCCCATGACCCAAGGGTGTGTCGTGACCTTGACCCAAGGTCATTTGGGGAAGTTCAAGGTCACTGGAAGAAAAATTTCATAATTCCTGTCTGGTCCATATCTTTCTTATGGATAAACTTGGTAGGATCTCATTTCACACAAAGATTGCCCATGACCCAAGGGTGTGTCTTGACCTTGACCCAAGGTCATTTGGGGAAGTTCAAGGTCACAGGAAGAAAAATTTCATAATTTGTGTCCGGTCCATATCTTTCTTATGGATAAACTTGGTAGATTCTCATTTCACACAAAGATTGCCCATGACCCAAGGGTGTGTCTTGACCTTGACCTAAGGTCATTTGGGGAACTTCAAGGTCACTGGAAGAAAAAATTCATTATTGTGTCCGGTTAACATCTTTCTTATGGATGTACTTGGTAGGATCTCATTTCACACAAAGATTGCCCATGACCCAAGGGTGTGTCATGACCTTGACTCAAGGTCATTTGGGGAACTTCAAGGTCACTGGAAGAAAAATTTCATAATTTGTGATACATATCTTTATTATGGAAAAACTTACTTCTGAAAAGCCAAGCCGGGGGGGGGGGGGGGTTATTTTGTCCCATTTTGACAGTTCTAGTTATTGTAGGAACTTATCAGTAACAAAAGATGTAGAATCCAAATTTTTAGTTCCTGGTATAAAGTAATTAGACTCTCGCCATGGTTAGAAGACATATTGTTGAAGAATTTGATAAAGTGGCCAGGAACTTGGGGATAACTTTGATTAGAATTATTAAAGCTTTATTCCTAATTATGTCCTTGATTTCTTTAGGTGATGGGACTGAAGTCCTGGCATTCCCGTGTACTGATCCTCGGCTACATCCAGGTCATGGTGTTCTGTAACCTCTTTACCATGATCCAGACAAAGCACAAAAAGGAAATCCAGAACTTTATACTGCATCTCATCTGTGATGACCAAGTAGAGGTAGGTTATGTATACAAATAACAAATACAAAAAAGGGAGGGGGTCAGAACTTTATACTGCATCTCATCTGTGATGATCAAGTGTTTTATATTAGATATTTATGCAGTACATTTATTAACATCAAAGAGCTAAATTCACTTCCCATAAACCCATAAAACGGCCCTGCCCATATACCAATAAACTGACCAAGTCACAATATCCCAAAACTAACATCCAGGGTTCGACACTAACTTTTTTACCTTGGTGGACCGCAGGTCCACTTGTTAAAAATTATTGGTGGACCTTCTCAATACCTGGTGGACCTTTATAAACGTTTGAATTAATGAATGAATCATTACATGAGGCATTAGTTAAAGCTACCTTTAATATATACCGATTCCAGTCAGACTAATAAAGCATAAATCTAACCAGTCAACAGAATCAAATCAGTTAGGGACTAGTCAGATTTTTTTGTCAGAAATATTGTTGAACTTAAAACAAAACAAAACGTATTAATCTACAAACCAAAAAAAAATTTTAAATTATTATCATTAAGTTACAATGGTGAAAACCTAAAACCTGCATTAATTTTGCTTCCAGAGGTAGATTAAATTTAAAATTCCATTTATTAATTAATTTGTTCAAATATTAAACAAGTGAATTTTTCATGCATTTATGGCTAGATCTTTTTTATACTACGATGTGAGATAGAAACATGTAATGTGTATTAATCAATTATTTTTCTAAATTTATTATTTATTCAAATAAGTAGTGATATAATGTATATCAAGAAAAAATGAAACTGCAGATTAGTTCATAAAATGTATATAACGCCTATTGGAACATCTATTTAAAAAAAAAACAATGCATAAATGCAGCTGTCAATCAGTTCTAATTATCTACAAGTGTGTGCGTTCAGGCGTGAAGCGATTTTCACACCTTTCTATGCATTACGTAAACAGAGGAGAGACTGGCTAATTTGGCACGGATTTTTCATGCTTCTTATTCAAGGTCCATTTTGTATGTTCTTGCATCTCAATATTATTGTTAATATTGGATTTATCAATTTAACATCATATAAAATATATCGAGTTCTAGGTCCCCCTGATTACCTTTAACATTATTTACACGTATATCTTTTTCTTGTAAAATACAGGTATGGAGGAATTAATAATTTGAGTTACGGATTTCGATTTAGAAAAAAAACCTGGAATTTCACTGTTTTTTAATACGGTGTTTAAATTTTAAGTGGACCGACGGTCCACCTAGTCCAGAACATTTGGTGGACCTTCCAATTTTTTGGTGGACTCGGGCCGCCGGTCCACCGTTAGTGTCGAACCCTGACATCAGTATAAACAGTCAAGGGCATCATGGAAACAAGTTATTTTTTAAATGATTTGTTTAAGTTATTAAATGTCAACATTTTGGGTTATCTTTCCCTGATTATGCATTTCTTCAGTAACTTATTCCAGTTACTGATACTTTACTACTCATTATTGTAAACCTACTGGTATCTGAAAAGCTTAATTTATGCTGTGCTTGGGTTATTAAGTAGAAGGAAAGCGTTCATGACAGTAAAAGTAATCTATCTTTACAATCTAGCACACTGAAATTCCACAAATCATAACTTATTTCTGTTATTTCATCTTTAACCCACCTCACTTTAGAACTCTTGCACAAAAATATACAGCTTTGCACAAAAAATGTAAGACTTAGAGATTGTACAGTAATGTCCAAAGATTATTAGAAAATTAGTCTCAGTGTTGGCAAAATTGGCGGAAGATGTGTAATTGACCCCTGAAATGTTCATGAAATGTCATTATTTTTCCTTTGATTGTTTTTAAAATATCATCGTATCTGCTGAGGAGATATTAAGTCTGATGATTTTATTAAAAGAAGTACATATATTTACAACTTTCTCAGCCTTATATCATCTTTAATCAGCAGAAAACTCAACATATTGATGTTTTTTGGCAAAACTGATAGGCATTCTACTTTTTAAGAGTTAACTCAAATGAGTTACTTCTTTGTTTAGTCATAAAAAATAACTTGATTCCATCATGCCCCTGACTGATAAAGATGAGACTTAGTACTTGCATTCCTTTAAAAAAAGTTTCTTCTGCAAATCCAGCTATAGAAAAATGGGCTTTGTGAAAATTGTTATGTTCTTGAAATTCATAGAGCCAAAATAGGCCTTTAGTAAACCTTGTTCTTTTTAACTCTTAATCATCCCCTTTGCAAACATATTGTAGAACAATTCTTACATTGCGGTGGAGTAGATAGGGATGTAGTTATTGCTTGTGTGTAAGTAGGATAGGATGTCCTTTGTGCCAAATGGAAGTGACACAATTTGCATTGGGATCAGGGTAGTTTGTATCCAGATAGATGTAGATGCTACATGCCTTGATTTACAGTGGAAATTTTGACAACGTTGTAATTTAGACTATATTTTTCCTCAAAATTCCACTCATCAAACCTCATATTTACATGTATATATAGTAAATGCAAATGACATTGTAGCATATTTACATACGTTAATCATTATTATAATGAAGGCATAAAAGTGCCTTTGTATGATTATTATAATTTTAAGATGAATAACTGTCTTGATTTACTGTAAATGGTCAAAGATTTCACTTTAGATATTTGATTTTCCTCACTTGTTTCTTCAACAATTGAGCAACAAACATATTGTCATTTGTATCTATACAAAGTCCATAGGGAACACTCAGTCCACAGTCTATGTAACGGAGGAACTGTCCATCCTGGTCTATGATGTGGACACAATGATTGTATTCATCAGCTGTAAGGATGTGACTCTGACTGTCTGTGGTGATTCCTCGTGGATCAAATCGTTTGTTGTTTGGAGCAGGAGTATGTCCAGTGTACCTAAATCTCAGTTTCCCGGCCTGATTGACCACCACTACTGCTTTAGCTCCATCATCAGACACACAAATATCTAGATTCCTGTTCTCAGTTATATATCTAGTATCAACTGTATAAATAGGTTTACCTTTATCATCAAACTGAATGGTTTGTTTCTCTGTGGAGCCAGAGTAACGGACAACTTTAGATTGTTTTTTATAATCCATGATAACCAGGAGGTCACCAGAGGAGGTACAGACAGCATTAGGTCTCCAGTTCTGTAGTCTGATCAATTCCTCTATCTTCTCATTCTTCACAATGTTCACAGTTCTATCATTGTAATCAGTATACACTAGATCTCCACTTGTTGTCACTGCAATGTTAGATGGTCTGTTCCCTGACTTGGTTCTGATTGACTTGAGTAGTGATCCCTGATTGATGCTGAAGAGTTTCATGGTGTTGTCATTTCCCCTTGTCCAGATTTCTTCATCACTCAGACAGGCCACATTGTCTAAGTAATTTGTATACCCAGTGTGTATGGTGGTGACAGTCTCTGGTTCATCAAGCAGCTGTTTGACTGGAGGAGAGGATCCAGCTTCTGGTGATTTCTGTGTTGTCTTCATGCTGTAGCCATGTTCATCTGATGTTAAAGAACTTGATGATAATGCTCCAAACATTTTACTTAGTTCTTCTTGATGCATTTTTCTTGGAATGAATTTAGGTAAAGATGGTATAATTTTGTGTGGAAGATATCCGTATGTGTGTACATTGGATGATACATTTAATAGTTTTGACAAGTCATTGGTGTCTATTGCAGTTTCCATCGAATCAATTTCGTCCTTGATGTCAGAAATGTTCTTGTTTATTTCATCCAGATGTTTCTGTAGAGTTTGTAACTGTGTGTTTTTCATCTTCATCAACTTCAGCTTTAAGTTTCTTGACAAGTTTGTCAAATTCTCTGTGCCAGTCCTCTCCATGTTTTGTTATGGCTGTTGAGAGATCACCATATTCCTTTTCTAACTGACTCATTCTGTTTTGTACATCAGAGGCAATGTCCTTGTAGATTGGGTAAATTGTATCATTTAATTCATTTCTTTCTTTTGTAATCATATCTTTCTTCTCACCAACAACTTGCACTATTTTAGATAATTCATGCCCTAAATGATGTTTAGATGCCAGACAGCTAAGACAGACAGGAATGTCACATTGTTTACAGTACATTTCACATTGTTCTTTTGCATGAGATGTACATACAGGGTATAGGAGAGTGGATTTTCTGGTCTGAATAGTGACAACTTTGTGATTGATTGATTGATCAGATATCATGTGTTTTCCTACACAAGCTGTGCACAGGTTGACAAGACATGTATCACAGTGCATCTGTACCACAGCGGTCTCACACAGGTCACATCACATCACGTCCTGGGCACTGATACGGGGGTCCATCATTAGATTTTGTGACTAAAGCATAAAAAAATTAATTAAGAATAAGTTGCTTTACATTTGAGAGCAACGTGTATTTTTTTGGACTCTTTTAAAAACCACATTTTGCCTGAGACCTTTAGGCAGATATATTCATGTACGTAACGTAAACAAGTCCTTATATTAATTATACAAGGTTCATTGTAGGAAGGAAAATTTGTTTGCATAATTAAAGCCTGCAGTACTGAATTTTTAGTAACTTTCAGAATTGTTTTCATATGGACAGAAATACTTAAAACTTTTTTACCTCACTTTCGTAATGGCAGCCGTCCTTGATCGATCTCCAAGTGCAGTCTGTATACACACACTGATCATGTGACACATCTGTATTATTTACCTGCCAGGTGTTTATACTTCCTGGTTAGAGGGGATTTAAATATGTCAAATAACGGCTCTTCAAAATGCATTATTTATTTTATATAGTTCATGTGCTGTTGTTTAGCGCTATTGATCTACTTGACCAGAAGGATTTATGTGACAGTATTTCATATTGGTGACTGTTGTCCATCTGTTTGTGTGTAAACAAGTAAACTAAGTTGCCAAAATTTTGAAAATTGAAATTTGTGTGAAACGCTATTCCCCCTACAGTTTTATCCATTTCAATATAACTTGGCACACATGTAGAATACACTGAAAAAGAATTTTTCAAGTTTTCTTACTGTGATTAAAGGTGTTGCTAGGGTTCTTAAAAATTGAAATTTCTGCATAAAGTTCTTGCAAAAGTTTATCCCCGTACAGTGTTAGCCTGATTGCAGTTAAGAGCAAGAGCCACTTTGGGCCTTAATTATTTGGTAATGAGAATTTCTGAAAAATCAAAACCGCTCAGTTTAGGCTGCAAATGCAGTATTTATCACTTGGATTGTTGGTGACCATGTATCTAATAATCGTGATGTAATTTCCCATCTAGTCAATGCATTATGACGTCATAAATTGCTTCATTTTCCTCTTATCTTGTAAATTCCTTTGAAAATGACTTAAAGTTGAAGCATTTTTTTCAATATTTCATATAGAGCACAACCTCTGATCCAAAATATGCAAATACATAATGACAGACCTGTTTCTGAAGATCAAAAAACATGTTTTATTTTTTTGGATCGTGGGCTGGGCTCATATTTTAGTTCTTTGCTGACTGTTGTCAAATACGCATGTTTTCTGCAAAGAATGGGTGGACTTAACTGGCCAGAAAAAATGCCACAAATTTAAGTTCCATAACATGTTATTTTTTTTTTACATCATATAAACCCCCGATATCTTAACTGTGTATTTATGGTACGGATGTGAATTTAAAATGCTCTTTTCAAGGTAAACTAAATAAATATCGAAGGCATGGTGCCTGAATATTTGTTGAGTATCAATAGATAATCAGGGTCACGCATTTTTCATCGTCTGAATACATAGTCAGCGCATGTTTGTTGGCTGTTCTTACAAAAACTATAGTTGTATATTGAACAAAATAATGTCATATTAAAAGGAGAAGAGCCGACAAACGTGCCATCACACTTAATTTTACAGAAAACATGTTCCAAACAAACTTCTCTCTTCCATTGTTACGACTTTGATTGACCTGTTAAATATTACAATTCATCACGTGATGTCCACCTAGGAGTGTACTCGTGGAAACAGTTACATTGTATTCTTCAACCTGACCTAGATGTAAATCACTATTATTTGGTGCTGTTTTCAGAATTTAGCACATTAAATGTTGTTTTAATTTTGCGTGTCCTCACATTTAAAAAAAAAAAAATCATAATGACATCGCTGTAATATTCCAAACACGTATTCGAATTTCTAGAGAGAAAGATGGAGAGAGAGAGAAATGTCAACAATGACACCGATCAATAGCCCCACCTCCTATTAATATTGATAGCGCGACCTAAAAACCACTGCGGGTACATGTCAAATTCCGGAAGACGACACTAATGTATCTTTCTTTCAATTTTGATTCATGGCAACAAGGCATTGCTTTTGTATATATGTTTTAGCTAAAATAACCATGTATACATCACTTTTTCTAGTGGTTGTAATATAATTTAGATTCACTTTATTTTTAACTTGTTAGAGTAGTCTCAAAAAGATCCAAAATAGGGCGTTAAGTCCACCCATTCTTTCAAGAACATTGCAATTTCTCAAACCTGTTTTCCAATATCTGGATTCTCAAAATGAAATTTTTTTATAGCAAATGAAAGTGTTTACTTTATTTTGATATATGAAAAGGGAAAGAGGGTGATAGCTAATTAACTGATATAAGTACAGGGCCATTTTATGCATAAGATGGCTCTTGCTCTTTTCTCACCAAAAAAAAAAAAAAGAAAAGAAAAAACCAAGGACTTATTATTTTATAGCTATTTATAAATTATTGTTGTTGCACAGTTTCAAGTACAAGTGTATCCTTTCTATTCCTTTGTTTTAAATACAAAGTAGCGGAGTCAAATTTTCATCATAGACTTCTGATTTCATTTTATTTCAAAGCACTAGAAAATTATTTTGTGCATATTTCAATGTACATGTTTATTTGAAATATGTATAAAAGAGCATTAATTTCTCTATGAAATTTTTAAAAGATAAACAAAATCAGTGATAGAGGTCTCACACAGGTCACATCACCAGATTCTGGACACGTACATTTTGTTAGAGTCCATGTATGTGTAAATCAGAATTTAAAATTAATTGCATGCAGCTGTGTAAAAAAAAACAATCTGTGAGACACCATTGAAAACTTGATGGAAGTAATATTTTTCTGTTTTGCAATACTAGGTGTTATAGTAATAAATTGTATTTTTATTAAAGGTGAGAGAGATGGCAGCCATAACATTGAGTGGTTTGGTACATTGTGGATTTCTAGACATGGACAAAGATATGCTGGTAATTTCTGAATTTCTACATAGTCTAAATTTGTATTTTATCTTGTTATTTTATGTCTCAGAATTTCAAACTTGAAGTTTGAAGTCAATAATAAATAACTTAGGTCCCATGTAGCAGCAGGTAGTGGCCCGAGAAAGATCTCTGGCTGCTCAATGGTTCTAAGTGTCGAGTATAAACCTAAGGTATAAATTTGCAGCCATCAGTCGGCAATTGTTGGCATCTTAATATAAGTGAACAAATATTCTCATGAGGACAACATGTCTGTGGAGAGGGCAAACAAACATCCTTTTTAAGATTGCCATACCATGCCAATATGATATATTTTCACTTATCTTTAAAATGAAAAAAAGCCATGTAAAGTATGAAGTATATGTACATCGTGTTTTAAATTTTATATTACTTTTAAACAGGAACACTTTGAAGTCCTTAGTAAGAACAAGGTGAAGAAGCGTAAGTTAGCGGACTCGATGCCTCTGGAGGCCCTAATAAAGCGTCACGCTGGTGTCCTGGGTCTCAGTGCTCTAGTGGAAGCCTATCCTTACAATGTACCCGAGTTCATGCCACAGATCTTAATGGACCTTAGTAACCATGTCAACGACCCTCAACCAATTCAGGTCAGTAGCTCTTTATTTTGGTGTCAATCAATACAGGTCAAAACTTACACTCAATCAATTCAGGTCATTTGAATATTACACTCATGTCAACAAATTCAGGTCATTGAATCTTACACTTATGTCAACAAATTCAGGTCATTGAATCTTGCACTCATGTCAACAAATTCATGTCAAAACTTACACAACTAATTCAGCTCAGTATAACACAGTGTTCAATGTGTTACCTACATTGTGGCTATTGTCAAATGTGTTGCTACAGCTGAGGGTAACATGAAAGATTAATAAATGTCCATGTATCTAAACAAATCAAATTTAGCATTTAACATATAAAAAAGTAAAATAATGATAAACTCTCTATTGGTTTTATTTTTTGCAGATGACTGTGAAGAAAACTCTATCAAACTTCCGTAGGACACACCACGACAATTGGCATGATCACAAACAAATGTTTACAGACGATCAACTGGTCATATTAACTGATATTCTAGTATCCCCTACTTACTACGCTTGACGACGGATCGGCTCCTAGAAACATTACAAACCAAAGTGTATGGACCTAACTAGGAACAGCTCAGTCATAGTAAAACAGGCCAGAGTTATCCCCCCCCCATAACAGGGTCGCAAAAGTCAGAAGCACCCATCTCATTTCACAGACATTAATTTGTAAGACATAATAAGTTATTTTATTATTCCTCAATCCTCCTATATAGTTTGACCATTTCATTTATATTTTAGGGATTTTTCATACAATGTGTTTGATGTGTATCATGAATACAATATTAATATGCATTTTGTTAAGGTAATCAAGTAAACATATGACGTCTGCTCAGAGTTTATGAAATAAGCTTTATGCAAGTCTTAGTTGGTTAAAGGGAAATAACCTAGATATATGTTTTGGAGATTGCTAACAGAGATTTTTTGTGAACTTTTTTGAATCTGTTTTTTTTGTTACCTCAAAATATCCTGCATAAATGAAGGCAATTTTTGATTGATTGATAATATCTGAGGCACTTGAGATGTATAGGTAGTATTACATGTATTTACTTTCAGAAATAGTATGGTGTTTTAAAACTAAACTTTTTCAAATAAATATTTTATATATGGACAGTTAAGGATACAGTGCCAAAATCATTAGTCATTTGATGAAAGGCATAAAATCTATCAGAGAAAAATGTTCTTCAAGTAAACATATACATTTCCCTGGACTTTTAAGTGTAAATCTATCGGTGAAAAATGTTCTTAAAAGTTGTAAATTTAGTACAGCCATAAGTTATTTTTCGTGAATGGGGGTAAATGTAAATTTGTATTTAATTGTTCAGTTTCCATGTAATTACATTTTAATGTATTAGCAAGTACATTTACTGAGATTTTTAATTAAAAGATAACCATGAATGTGTTGAGACCATATGTCGGTTTAGAAACACAGTTAATGTTACGATAGAAAAGTATAGAGACCAATTGAAATATTCTAAATCTATAAATTTTCATGTAACTGTATGAAAAGTTTTTATTAAAAGTTCACATTTCATGAACCTGTATTAAAGAGGACTGTGTTATAATCCATGGGTTTTGATTTAAATTATTCCCGAAGTGATACAATCAGTTTTTCATTATATCATTAACAAATTATTTTACCATAATAATATGAATCCTTTTCATGTTTTCATAAAAAAAACGTGGATTTAAATAAAAATTATGCTTTCATGAAAAGTGTTGTTGTAATGTTCTGCAAAAACAATTCGAATCAAATATATATGATCATATTTTGAAATATCCTTACTGACATCTTCATCCTATACATGAGTGTACAATGTAAAATTTAAATATGAAAGAGTTGAACAGACACTTTCTGAATTTTTTTTAAAAAAATGTTAGGAAGTCCAGCATTCACTTGCATAAATCTTAATATCATTTTTATGTTTCATCTAGGCATGGTTGACAATTCTTCAAAAATATAATTTGTTGAGTATCATGCTCATAGCAATTCATATGAAGCATCATGTAGGATCTTATGAAGATTGTACAAGGACTTCCAATAAAATTATGTGTTAGTGTTCCACTTAATAAATGTAAGATAGAAAGTAGGACTTACAGAGATTAGATTGAAGTAGTATGTGGAATATAAAAAAGCAACCAAAAAAAAATCAGAATACAGGACTAGACTAATATCAATTTATTATAAAAGTATCAAATAAATATAAAAACAGGCAAAACATGAACCTCAAAAAGCTCATGCCTACAATTTTGGAAACAGCATCAAAGCCACGATTTTATGTATTATGGCATTATTAGGGGCACCTGTCCATAACCGTGCAGTATCAGTTAGTCCTGGCTCAATCATGCAAAAAAAAAATATCTGGAAGAAAATACTATATCATCTCCGGATGTTTTGGTAAGAACTATATACAGGAACACCTTAAAAAGTTATGGATACAGGACTGGTGTACTTTATAATGTTCAGATGATTGTCAGGACCCAAGGCCGTTAAATGAAAAATTTGGGAGTTCTAACTCGAAGTTACCACAGGGCTTGATGTTTTTAACCTTTCTCTTCATAAAAAAATTTACCAATACTATGTTATCAATATATAGGTAAATTTTTATTTTTGAACAGAAAGGTTAAAAACATCAAGCGCCTGTGTAAGTTACTTGGAAAATGAATTTACCTGTGGGATGAGATTTCTAATTTGGTTCAGATGAAACAAAATAAAATGCTAATATTCTTTATTTCTATATACGACCATCAATCAAATTTGGACTTCCAAAATTGTTTATCTTCAGTTTCATGACAAGAAATAACATAATTTCACACATTAAATGAATGGTGATTCATTATAAAGACCATCATACAAACTCATTTGTGCTACATTCATTAGAACATCTTTGTCTCTTGTACTAAAAAAAAATTATACATGTAAGGAACATTTGTGACAGACAAACCATCACAGATATGTTGGATGCTTATTTTATCTCTTCAGATTATCTAATGTCTATTTCAGCAGTTATTATGATACTAATGCAAAATGAAGTTATTTTTCCAGAAAAAAAAACCCCCTAATTTTATATGAAACAAACCAACTCTGAAATTAATATATGTTAGATTTACGGAAACATGAGAAACATCTCATCTAGGATGACCAAGTAGAGGTAGGTTATTTACAAAAACAACCAGTGCAATGCAATATGCAATACATAATGAATAAGAGGCCCATGGGCCAAATCGCTCACCCGAGTAGCTTTGACCATGCTGTTGTTTACAAAATTCCCTCTTAAAATGCGTATTGTGATACACATGTACAACCCTACCTCATGGGTCATAATTTGAACCATTTAGAATCTACACTATACTGTACCCCAGGATGTATCCACATAAGTCTCAGCTATTCTGGCCCAGTGGTTAATTCTTAAGAAGATTTTTTTAAAGCTTCCTATATATTCATATGTGAAACTTAGATTCCTTATTGAGGCCCCACCCTACTCTAAGGGGTCATGATTTGAACAGGTTAGAATCTGCACTACCCCAGGATGCTTCCACATAAGTTTCAGCTTTTCTGGACCAGAAGTTCTTTAGAAGACAATTTTTGATAACCCCGCCAAATTTTTTTCATTTCTTGATTATCTTCCCTTGTGAAGGGACTTGGCCCTTGATTTTTAGCTCACCTGAGCCCTTGATTTTTAGCTCACCTGAGCCGAAGGCTCAATTAAGCTTTTCTTATCTAGATTGGCAGTTGTCGGTCTTTGTTGTCGTTGCGTTGTCGTTAACTTTCAACATTTTTATCTTCTTCTCAAGAACCAATGGGCCAATTTCAATCAAACTTGCCACAAAGTATCCTTGGGTGAAGGGGATTCAAGTTTGTTCAAATGAAGAGCCATCCCCTCTTTCAAGGGGAGATAATTATGAATTAGTGAAAAATTAATATCATCTTCTAAAAATCTTCTTTTAAAGAAACACTGGCCCAGGAAAGATGAAACTCATGTGGAAGCATCTTCAGGTATTGTAGATTCAAGTTTGTTAAAATCATGACCCTCGGGTGTAGGGTGGGGCCACAATGGGGTATCAAAGTTCAATATAGGAATACATGGGAAATATCTTTAAAAATCTTCTTCTCCAGAACTACTCGGCCAGGAAAGATGAAACTCATGCTTTCCTCAGGTAGCAAAGATTCAAGTTTGTTCAAATCATGACCCCCAAGGGTAGGGTGGGGCCACAATTGGGTATCAAATTTCAACATAAGAATAAATAGGGGAAAAAAATTAAAATTCTTCTCAAGATTCACTGGGCCAGGAAAGATGAAACTCATGCAGAAGCATCTTTTGAAAGGGAATATTTAATTTTGTGCAAATCATGACCCCTTGGGCAAGGGTGTGTCCACTACTGGTGATCAATTGCAAGGTTGTAATTAGGAATTCATGGTAAAAATTGTTAAAATTCTTCCCAAAGCCATCATGATATTGATCATAAATTAAAAGCATTAAAAAGGTAATATAGATTTGAAATTCAGGAGAATAGAGTAGCCATAAAGTGGACAAATGAATACAAAGGCTATACCAATGAAAAAAAATCTTATAAACAACAAAACCCTTATGTGTCACAAAAGCATTTTCTGAGGAAATGTAGATTTAAGTTTGTTTAAATACCCCCCCCCCTCCCTCACAAGAACCCATATTTATAATATATTTAAATTTTTCAAAACTGAACTAATTTTTGCTTTACCTAGTCAGTTTCTCAGATGAGCGATGTGGCCCCTGGGCCTCTTGTAACAATTTAAACTCCCCTTTATCCAAAGATGCTTTGTACCAAGTTTGGTTAAAATTGGCCCTGTGGTTCTTGAGAAGAAGTCGAAAATGTGAAAAGTTTACATAGGACGGACAGACGGAGATCTAGACGGACGACAGACAGAATTTTATCAGAAAAGCTCTCTTGAGCCTTTGGCTCAGGTGAGCTAACAACAGAGAGCTTGATTAACTTATCCATATGATGGCCCTGTCCGTATACCAATTAACTGACCAAGTCACAATATCCCATTTCAAACATCAATATAAAGATGAGACTTAGTACTTGTATTTCCTATGAAAAGTTTCTTCGGAAGTCCGGGTTTAGAAAAATGGGCTTTGTGAAAATTGCAATGGTTTTGAAATCTGATGAAAATGCATGTTTTGAGTATCTTCAACAAAGAAAATGTAAATGTACCGACTGATTGATCTGAAAAATAAAACATGGATTATAATAATGGATTATATCATGTTTAACTGTTTTAATGGTCCAAGATTTACTTCAGATATTTGATTTTCCTCACTTGTTTGTTAAACAATTGAGCGACAAACAGATTGTCAAATGTATCTGTACACAGTCCCCTGGGATGATTCAGTCCACAGTGTATGTAACGGAGGAACTGTCCATGCTGGTCTATAATGTGGACACAGTGATTGTCATAATCAGCTGTAAGGATGTGACCCTGACTGTCTGTGCTGATTCCTCGTGGACTGAATGGTTGTATCTGTTGAGCAGGAGTATGTCCAGTGTACTTGAATCTCAGTTTCCCGGCCTGATTGACCACCACTACTGCTTTAGCTCCATCATCAGACACACAGATATCCTGGTTCCTGTTCTCAGTAATGTGTCTATAAGAAAGACAAGATGAATAGAAAGGATAACCTTTATCATCAAACTGAATGGTTTGTTTCTCTGTGGAACCAAAGTAACGGACAACTTTTGTTTGATTGTTATCGTCATTGCTCATAATAACCAGGAGGTCACCAGAGGAGGTACTACAAACACCCTTAGGTTTCCAGTTCTGTAATAGTCTGATCACCTTCTCTATCTTCTCATTCTTCACAATGTTTACAGTTCTGTACAAGTAATCAGTATAAACTAGATCTCCACTTTTTGTCACTGCTATGTAGGATGGTTCGTTCCCTGACTTGGTTTTGATTGACTTGAGTAGTGATCCCTGACTGATGCTGAAAAGATTCATGGTGTTGTCAGTTCCACTTGTCCAGATTTCTTCATCGATCAGACAGACTACATTCCAAAGGTTTCTATGCCTAGTGTCTATGGTGTTGACAGTCTCTGGTTCATCAAGCAGCTGTTTGACTGGAGAAGAGGATCCAGCTTCTGGTGATTTCTGTGTTGTCTTGATGCTGTAGCCATGTTTATCTGATGTTAAAGAACTTGATGATAAAGCTCCAAACAGTTTACTAAGTTCTTCACTTTTTATTTTTCCCGAATGAATTTTGGTAAAAATGGAATGACTTTGTCTGGAAGATTTCTGTATGTGTGCAATTTGGATGTCACATTTAATAGTTTTGACAAGTCATTAGTGTCTGTTGCAGTTTCCATTGAATTGATTTCATTCTTGATGTCAGAAACGTTCTTGTTTATTTCATCCAGATGTTTATGTAGAGTTTGTAACTGTGTGTTTTTCATCTTATCAACTTCAGCTTTAAATTTCTTGACAAGTTTGTCAATTTCTCTATGCCCGTCCTCTCCATGTTTTGTTATGGCTGTTGTGAGATCTCCGTATTCCTTTTCTAACTGACTTATTCTGTTTTGTACATCAGAGGCAATATCTTGGTAGGTGGGATAAATTGTATCATTTAATTCATTCCGCTCTTTTGTAATCATGTCTTTCTTTTCCCCCACAACTTGCAAGACTTTAGATAATTCATGACCTAAATGTTGTTCAGATGCAAGACAGCTAAGACAGACAGGAATGTCACATTGTTTACAGAACATTTCACATTGCTCTTTGTAATGAAATGTACAACCAGGGTAGATTGGAGTGGATTTCCTGGCCTGAAATTTGACAACTTTGTGATCCTTGGATTCATCTGTTAAAATGTGTTCTCCCACACAAGCCTTACACAGGTTGACAAGACAAGTATCACAGTGCATCTGTACCACAGCGGTCTCACATAGGTCACATCGCATCACATCCTGGGCACTGGTTCGAGGGTCCATCATTAGATTTTGTGCCTGAAGCATAAAAAAATAATTAATGTATTAAGAATTAGATGCTATACATTTGAGATCAACATGCAGTGCCATATTTTCTGACTCCAAAAGAGCTATAGCGCATTTGATAGTCACTTTCGCCTACTCTTGTAGTGATTTTTTAAATACTTTGTTTAACCAAAATTTTGTAATACAATGTTAGTTTATTCACGTCTTAAAGCAACTCACACAAAAACAATACTTAATTATTAATAGTTCCCTCATATGATAGTTATAAAAAGTGTTCAGTTTATATGGAGAATAAAGTAAATGCTGAGGTACCCCTTAAACAATGACAAACTGTAGGAAAAGACCACCCTTAACCAGAAAAACAACTTCTGAATAATTTGATTTGGATAATACTGCACTTCATTACGTTTAGATAATTTTGGTTAAAGCTGGTCTTCATATTGAAAATGTTGAAAATATGTAATTAATTTTTATTCTAAAATTATTTCAAAATTCAACAATCTGTCTTAATTTTATCCATTTGATTACCAAGACTTCGCGGTGTAGTCGTATGATTGCTGGGTTGGTGACAAAATGATCATGAGTTCGAGTCTAACAGTGCGTCTTACTTAACTATGATTTTATTTTTTTTTCTCTGTGTGCATTTTCCTATGTTTTCTTTATTATTCTATAATACATGTATAAATAAATTTTAAAAGAGATATATAATACAACATTACACATTGAAAGTATCTAGGGGAAAAACAGTCTTAAACTATTTTAATGACCCAAAGTCTGGTTTATTTTTAAAATTTTCAAACAATCTTGTTTAGAATAAGAGTATTGGACAAGTAAAATTACTGTCATGCAAAAAACTTGCAACTATGAAAATATAACACTAGTTCACAAATGATTACATACAATTAGTTTGATTTTGAATTGAAAAGGTACAGTATTTATAACTAGAAACAGGTGATTTCCTTTTAAATACTTGAGTAGGCCGAGTCGTCGGTAAGGCAGCTATGGCTCTTACAATTTTGTCTGCGACCATTAGGCAGATAAATTCATGTAGATAAACAAGTTACATGTTTCTAAAACAAGGTTCTTTGAATCTTTGTAGGAAGGAAATTTTGTTTGCTGTGCAGTACTGAATCTTCAGTGACTTTCAGAATTGTTTTCATATGCTCAGAAAAAACTTTAAACCTTCTTACCTGACTTCAGTAAAATGGCGGCTGTCCTGTTGATCGATCTCCAAGTGCAGGGTCTATGTTTTGGTATTCTGATCATGTGACACACCTGTGTTCTACTCTAAATCCATTCATTACTTTCAAATGAAAGTACAATAAACAACAAACACACCATTTGGACATAGCAACGACACGCAGCAGCTTTATTTGTACAACATATTTGTATATATACATGTTTATGTTGGATTGAATAAATCATGATAAAATTTAAACTATATTGGCTCTACGTGTCGTCCTAAACTGGTATTTAAACCACTATTCACCTCTTATATAGCTTTGCTAACGAGACCGGTTCTAAAGAACCACGTGATATTCACCAGGTATTCGAATGAAAACCTTGTAATTCCGAAAAAGTAATTCATTATCACACCAAGTAGAAATTGATTTCTGTCTAATTCGTTCCTAAAACGAAAGAAATCATATTTATCTACCTGTCACAGGTCGAGACCACTAGATTTTCTGACGTCAGAATAAATTTGCATGTAAATTAGCTATCTGTTTACTTTACCCACTCATGAATGAGTCGCAATGCATTGTGGGCTACTACAAGTACTCAGCTGTGTTGAAAATGAGGGCCAACTTGAATTATCCCTTGCAAACTTATTTTCAATTCTTCTTTGAGATTTGTGGAAGAAATATTTAAAATGATGTATAATCTTTCATTTCTATGCTCACATTTACAAAATTTGCTTTAAGAAGCCTTATATATCAACTTAATAATTCATCGGCCTAAACCATTGTTTGAAGAGACGTACATGTAGATGCTATCGTGTCGATAAAGCATTGAGTTTTTTTTCACGTGATATACGTGTACATAGTTTTAGACAGCAGTACAAGGTGCGCTATTATTATTTAATCCCTAAATATTATCAAAAAGTTTTTTAATGTACTGTAAATGCAAACATCAAAGCGTTTGCACATTATTCGAACTTTCGATACAACTATTAATCATATAAAACAACTCCAATATTAAATGCGAGCATGGAGCAATGTCTTGGGAATGAAATCTTTCAATTTCGGACTTAAAAAGTGACAAAGAAGCTTTACGATTTTTCCGGTGACGAAATAATCGACGAAAACCACGTGTCGCCATTGAATCGTTAACACTTAGTCGAGTATCATGCTTTCGGACTCATTCACTTGATTGGCGAACGGGTGTGACGAAGGTATCGTCACGTGTTGAAAGTTGCCTTCCATATAAGGTAGTGGTCTCGACCTGTGTCAGGTGTTTATACTTCCTGGTTTAAAGTGGGATTTAAATTCCCTTAACTACTTCTATTTCAAATGCAGTTATATTTATTTTATGTAGTTCCTGTTATTTTTTAGCTCTACTTGTCAGTGTCCTTAAGAGTTTATGAGATAGTAATGCGTCTGTCATTCCTCCATTTGTCTGTCTAACTGTCTGTGTGCAAACGTCTAGTTTTGACTTGATTTTAATATAATTTAACACACAAGTAGAGAAGACTAAGATAAAAATAATTCTGTTGTTTTGGTTTTTGATTTTGGTTAATGTTGTTGCCAAGGTTTATGAAAAAATGAAATTTATGTAAAATTTTCTCAGCATGCTATTCCTCTTACAGTTTTGGTCTGACTTGATAATACGTTATCACATACTTAGTACAATAAACATTCACTGTCAGAGAAATAATGATGTTGCTATGGTTCTTAAAATTGAATTTTCAGTAAAATTCTTGGAAAAAAAACTACAGTAAACCCTTCCTACAGTTTTAGCTTGATTGCAATAAACCTTGCGACAAAAGAAACTATAAACCGATGATTATTTTTCTTTTTATGACTGTAGCATATAGTGTTGTTCCAATCATTGATTATAATTGAAAAATCAGTTGACTGCTGGCATAATCCAAGCGCTTTATTACATTTTTTTATTCCGATTAATCAGGTTATTTTATTTTATAAGCATAAACATTTGTAAGCCAAATTTCCAGCCTCAACTATTTTATTAACTTTTTTGATAGATTGGGGGCGCATATTGTTTTTGTCCAGTCTGTCTGTCTGTCTGTTTGTCTAGCAACTTTACAGAGGCTGGAGGGTGGCAGCCATTTTTAGACTATTTCAATCTCCTTTAAAAGGAGAGCTCCATATAAAGATATACATAAATGATCAAATTTTAAAACTAAAATGTACGAAATTTTACTTTGCCATATGGTAGTTGACAGCTCAAGATACCGTATCTAAAACAATAAGTTAAATCTGGTGGTTAATTTGGGATTAATTTGTTGACCCACCAGCCTCCTTAACCTTGTCTATAACTTTTGAACCATGAGAGATAGAGACTTCATATTTTGGGATGCGTCCGGATCGATAGATTTGGGGAGCATATTGTTTTTATCCCGTCCGTTTGTCTGTCAACTTTAACTTTAGCATGAGAGACTTCTTGTTTGGTATGCATATTTCACTTTTAAGCTCTTTCAAATGATACCAAGGTCAATGACCTTGACTGTGTATCTTTATCATAAAAACAGCTTTTTTGAACTATCAGCATAACTTTTGAACCAATATATTGAGATAGAGACTTCATATTTAGTGTGTATACTTTATTAATTAACCTCTTTCAAATGAGACCAAGGTTTATGATCTGGTGACCTTTACTCTGACCTGTATACTAAAAATAGTTTTATCAAACTCTTTTTCCACCTGGTACATTGTGTTTCACAAACACATCTTGTTCTGTTTTGCAATACTAGATGATATAGATTACTTATTAATTGTATTTGTACCAAAGGTGAGAGAGATGGCAGCTATAACATTGAATGGATTGGTACATTGTGGATTTCTAGACATGGACAAAGATATGCTGGTTATTTCTGAATACTACTTACAATTCATATTTATCTTGTTATTTTATATCTCAGAATTTCAAATATGAAGTTCTAGGTCAATATTAAAAAACTAAAGTTCCATGTCACGGTCGGTGGTGGCACGAAAAAGATCCCTCTCTGCTCAAAAGCCCTAGGTGTCAAGTATGTAGGTTTAAATTTGCAGTCCTGCAAATTTTGTCCTATATGGGTACAGTCCACTAACTTCAGAGTTATGACTGGCGTTATAATACACAAAATAATTCGGCTGATCTTCTTGATAAATTCCATTTGCCAAACTTTTTTGGTAGGAAAGACACTCCTTATCAACAAGTGTGAGGCTCATTTCAGTACATCTGCCCAATTTTTTTTTATGCAAGTCTGCAAATTAAGGAACTTGTGATTTTTTTGCACTACTTTTTTCTCCTACCGATTCTAACAATAATTAGTGGGACGTACACATATTTGGCACCCAGGGACATTAAGCATTGAGAGATCTTTTTATTTTGCCAGCACCTATTGTGACACAGGAACTCTGTTTATACGGTCTCATGCGACGGACTGGTCTCTATGTCCCACAGTTGGATTTGGAAGTATATGTGCATCTAGCTTTAAACTTTATTACTTTTAAACAGGAACACTTTGAAGTCCGAAGTAAGAACAAAGTGAAGAAGCGTAAGTTGGCGGACTCGATGCCTCTGCAGGCCCTAATAAAGCGTCACGCTGGTGTCCTGGGTCTCAGTGCTCTAGTGGAAGCCTATCCTTACAATGTACCCGAGTTTATGTCTCAGATCCTAATGGACCTTAGTAACCATGTAAACGACCCTCAACCAATACAGGTCAGTAGCTCTTTATTTTGGTGTCAATCAATACAGGTCAGTAGATCCTTACAGTCGTATCAACCAATACAGGTCAGTAAAAACTTATCTGTCAACTAAATCAGGTCAAACCTTACACTCAATCAATTCAGGTTATTATGCAACAAATTCGGATTAAAAGTTACACTCAACCAATACATCCTTAGACTCGTGTCAACAAATTCAAATCAAAACGAAAACTTAGTCAGTAGAACACTATTCAATGTGTTACCTGTTGTCAAGTGTGTTGCTACAGCTGAGGGTAACATAACATTGTAAAATGTATCTTAACCAATCAGATTTTAGTATTTAACATATATGAAAGTATAATATTGATAAACTCTGTTGGTTTTATTTTTTGCAGATGACTGTGAAGAAAACTCTATCAAACTTCCGTAGAACACACCACGACAATTGGCATGATCACAAACAAATGTTTACAGACGATCAACTGGTCATATTAACTGATATTCTAGTGCCCCCTACTTACTACGCTTGACGACGGATCACTCCTAGAAATATTACAAACCACGGTGATAGGACCGAACTAGGAACAGCTCAGTCATGGTAGAACAGACCACAGTTATATCCCCCAATAGCAGTGGAATCAGCAATGCCCATCCCATTTCAAAGTTTGTTAGTCATAATAATTGATCTATTAATCCTCCCCCTATATAGTTTGAACATTTCAGTTATGTTTTAGTTTTTTTTCATGAATTGTATTTAATGTGTATCATGAATACAATATTTCTTTGCATTTTGTTAAAGTGATCAAGTGAACATTCGAAGTCTGTATATGGATTAAGCTTTGTGCAAGTCTTAGTTGGTTAAAGGGAAATAACCTAGCTATCTGTTTTGGAGATTGCTAACAGATTTTTTGTGAACTTTTTTGAATCTGTGTTTTTCGATACCTCATATTATGAAGGCAATTTTTGACTGATTGATTGATATTACAGGTATCTGAGGCACTTGAGATGTGTAGGTACAGTTACATGTATTTATTTTCAGAAATAGTAATGTGTTTTAAAACTAAAACTTTTCAAAAAATATTTTATATGGACAGTTAAGGATGTAGTGCCAAAGACATTATTCATTTGACAAAAGGCATCACCCATTAAATGTATCAATGACAGATGTTCAAGTAAAAAAATCCATTTCCCTAGACTTCAAGGTGTAAATTCTAATACAGACATGAGTGTTTTTCGTGCTTGGGGGTAAAAATAAATTTAGGTTTGCATATCATTACACTTAATTTATTAGTATCCATGTAACTATACATTTTAATGTATTAGCATGTACATTTATTGAGATTTTTATTTAACTGTTAAACATAAATATAGTGTGACCATATGTCGGTTGAGAAACACAATGTTCTGATTGAAAGGTAGATACATTCTTAAATATTCCAAATAGATAAAAGTACATAAACCTGTATGAAAAGTTTTTTTTTTTAAATTCACATTTCATGAACCTGTATTAAAGAGGACTGTGTTATCATAATCCATGGGTTTTGATTTAAATTATTCCCGATGTGATACAATTAGTTTAAAATTATGTCATTAACAAAATATTTTATCATAATGGTGAGAATCCTTGTCATGTTTTCATTTATGAAAAAAAATGTGGATTTAAATAAAAATTATGCTTTCATGAAAATCGTTGTTGTAACTGCAAAATCAATACAACTGTGGTTTTCGAGTTATGAAGAGACCCCCGAATTTATATCCACCAGGAAATGCAACTTTTCACACATATTACTACTGAACAATTCTTCAAACACGAAATCAAGTCCCCATGAACAGAACCAACATATTTTTATCAAACCACGAGAGGGACATTCAATGAATAATGTCATAAGCTCGATGACAAACATCATAGAAATCATATGCCATTGAGTTTGACTTTCTCTAATTCTTGAATCTTTAATGAGTTGATAACAGTTTATGTGAGCGCTTTTCATCACATTATTCCATTGTGAGAAGCTGGAAAATAAGGGCTACTCGAGACACTGCATTTAAAATGAATAGTCAGGAATCGGTAAACTAGAGTGAAATTCAACGCATCATTAAAGCTGCTGTTAGACTTGTTAAGAATCCCAAAGATATATTAATTGAAATATGTTTAATTTACAGCAACCAATGCCTGTTTTATACACACATGAGCAGGTGGATTTCAATTAACAAAAATGATATAATGGGCATCAAAAATGGGCACCGTTCTTGGCTATAAGAACATACAATAACCAATGTATATTTGCAAAATTTCCACAAATTATCACTGAGTATGTTTAATTGACTTTTAAGACACATAGCAAATTTGATAGACATCATTTTGGGGGTATTTCATACTGTTGTAAAGAAACATTTGATAGTAAAAAAGTTTAATACTCAAAGGTCACCCGATATTTTGAAAAATGAGTGAAAACGACAGCGTGTAAGAATATCTAAAAAAAATATTTTAAAAGATAAAAAAAAAATGTTATTATCCACGTTTGTCTGATATTCAAACAGATAATGAAACTTGAATCCATTTTGCTTTAAACCCTCAAAGCATATTTACAATGAGATACACTTGAGAAAACAGCAAAGGGCAGAACAGAGCAAAGAACTGGAAGAGCACTAAAACAGTTTTATATGCTATTTTCTTAGATATTAGTGGTCTTGTTGTTCAAATTCTTATTGTGGAAGTAATTTCACTCTCTGGAAGAATCTAGAAAGGAAAATGTTTGCAAAAAAAGTGAAAGGTTTATGAGAGGAAGGAGCCAGAATAAGGATTCACTACATTAAATTTCTTCAGTACAGCGTCCAACTCCACAGGCTATGAAGAGTGAAGGCGTTCTCTGAATAAAAAGAAGGTTAATGTTTTGTCACACCAACATTATTGGCCAGCACATTCAACGTTTGACTTGTTTCATTTCCCAAACTTGACAAAATACCTTTCAAAAAGAAAAAAAAATAAGCACATGAAATCAAAGGGTCTGCCATATTCCAGTATACGAAGGGTCAAACTCAAAAAAGCGTTCTGAAAACAATTCGAAATTGAATAAAAATGTTGCGGACATGTGTTTTCATTCAAAGAATTAGTTTCTTTCCGAGCACCGATGACATTATTTATTGAACGTCCCTCGTATATGACTTTACAGTATTCAATAATATTCAATCACATTTTGAAATATCCTTACCGACATCTTCATCCTATACATGACTTTACAATGTAAAATTAAATTGAAATATGAAAATATAAAAAATAATTTTATGAAAATTTTGAGAAAGTGTCTGTTCAACTCTTATCTCAAAATTTTCATAAAATTATTTTTAGGGAAGTCCAGCATATAGTTATAAATACATGTACATTAATCAATATCATATTGTTATGAACACATTTATATTCGATGGTTGATAACTCTTCAAACATTTTTTTTGGAGTAACTTCACATGCACATAGTAATTCATATGAAGTATAATGAAACATCTTTTGGAGATTCTTAGATTATACAAGGACTTCCAATAGAACTACGAGTTGGTGTTCCACTTAATAAATGAAAGATGGAAAGGAGGATTGCTACAGAGATCAGTCTGAAATAGACTGTGGAATGTTATATAGCATAAATTCAGAAAACGGGACTTAATTCCATTTAGAATAATATGAAATAAATAAATGAACAGGCAAAAACTGGACTACAGAAAGCCACAATTTTATACTAGATGTGCATGGCATTATTAGGAGCACCTGTTCAAAATTGTGCACCAACGGTAAGTCGTGGGCCAATTAAAAAAAATTATCTGGAAGAAAATACTATACCAATTCCACACGTTAAATGTTCGTGATTTAAAGGTACTGGACAAAAGAAGATATTCAGAGAAACTAGTAAAAGGTTTTTTTTTATTATGTTCAGGCCATTTCTTTGGAGAAAAGTTGGGAGTTCCAACTTGAAGAAGTTACTTGCATTGGAAAATGAATTTTTCTGGGGAATGGGATTTCCAATTTGATACAGATTAAAAAAAATTAAATGCAAACATTCTTTGTTTTTTATTTACGACCATCAATCAAATTTGGACTTGCAAAATTGTTTATCTTCAGTTTAATGACAAGAAATACTGTATACAGGGTTATTTTCACCCCATGTTAATTTCGCCCTTTTGCACTTGCGAACAATTTTGGCCCGTTTTTAATTCGCCCAATTATAGTTTTGTTTAAGAAATTATGCTGTGTAATTTGAATTCGCACCGTTTTAAATTCGCCCAATCAGGAAGAGGGTGAAAGGGGCGAAAATAAGACGGGGGCGAAAATTTCCCTGTATACAGTAACATAAATTCATACAATGGATCGGATGAATGGTGATTCATGAAGAAAACCTTCATACAAACTCATTTGTGCTACATTCATTAGAACATCTTGGTCTCTTGTACTCAAAAAAATTATACAAGTACGGCACATTTGTGACAGACAAACAATCACAGATATGTTCGATGCGTATTTTATCTCTTCAGATTTTATTTAGAATCTTAGTTGCAAATATTGAATGCAAATGACAATACAATTTCTTAAAATTATGAATATGACAATACTCAAATGAATCTTTTTGTCTTTTAAGTCTGCTAGTTTTCCACTTTTTTTATCTAAAAATCTTATGCACTTTTTATAATCTGATTAAAATCAGATCTTTGTTACGCTCCAGAATTGTGATAGTCGCACCGCCGAAATATGGCTGAAATATTGCCGATCCGGTGTTAAACAATAACGATCAATCTGATAGTCGCTGTAAAAAGCTTTGTACATCGACTATCAGAATGTCAGAGCGTTGTGCAGCGACTATTCGAATTTTGGAGAGTAAAAAAGATCTGATTTTAATCAGACTGGCTCTATTTCATGCACGTAAACAGGTATTGCAATTTCCCCTTCACTTAGGCAGTAAACTGCCTAGCATCTCTTTAATCTAACAGTTTTGAAAATGATTAGAAAGCAACAGTTCACACATATTTTTTCATTAATCAATTTTTAAAATCGTGAACAACCATACAGTCACAACATGTGACTTTCCATGAATATATTAGCTCTGTATCAAATAAACATTCATAAATATCTTTATTTATTACTCTATCAAAATATTTCATATTTCTTAATCCTAACCTGGTTTAAATAAGGATTATATGTATTTTAAAATTCTAAACTAAATCTGAAACATGAACTATCTATCACATGAAAAACAAATTTTCAACCTGTTCAATATTTTTAATCTACAGTTTTTTCTTTTGTAATAAGATTCATAACACTTATATGATCAGCAATAATTTGGACAATACTTTACAAACGTTTGTAAACTTTATGTGTTAAACGGGATACTGCACAATGCCAATAGTAAATAGAAAACTAGAAAGTCTGCAAGCAATAGCGTATGTGGCCCCGAACTGGATAAGACTTTCATTTTTTGTATCACTAAAACAATACCTATTAGCTAAGCTTAGAAATCAAAGTTTAAGATTTTCACTCTTACCTGGTTTCAATGGCAATAATCGAAAATTTTAAATGCGAATCGCTCAACTACAGATACTAACCACTAAAATAAAAAAAAAAAGTTTCAGGGCGAA